AATTAATCAAAGTTTCACGTCCTCTTCACTCCCCCCCCACCACAATGTGTGCAATTACTATTATAGGGTCGGTAGATTATAAAATTATAGCGATTAGACAGTATTATTGTAGCGCGGGGGGGGGGGGGGGGAACGGCACCCGTACCCAGCCTCAGCCGGGTGGGCAATTTAGGCGAGGCCGGAGGCTCTGCACGGTGCTAGGCCTCGACACCCACCACGCGACTCTGAGGTAAATTCATCAAAGTTTCACGTCCTCTAGAGAGTGGTGAGGGAGGGAGAGTGGTGAGGGAGGGAGAGTGGTGAGGGAGGGAGAGTGGTGAGGAAGGGAGAGTGGTGAGGGAGGGAGAGTGGTGAGGGAGGGAGAGTGGTGAGGGAGAGTGCTGAGGGAGGGAGAGTGGTGAGGGAGGAAGAGTGGTGAGGGAGGAAGAGTGGTGAGGGAGGGAGAGTGGTGAGGGAGGGAGAGTGGTGAGGGAGGGAGAGTGGTGAGGGAGGGAGAGTGGTGAGGGAGGGACTCAGCCTCAAAACGAGTAACTGGTGTGGCGTATTAACATCGCCACTGGGGAGACAAAGGCGGCCGGGCGTGGTGGATCCAAGTCCCGGGCGAAGCCGGGTAGTACAGCTAGTGATAAATAATCAAAAGCCACTCCCCTGTCCCCCAGTTGTCTCTGAATATCTGACGATATGTCCTCCACTCTCCGTGCCACAGTGTTGCGTGCCAGGCAAACATTCATAAATTCTTGCTTCTTCTCGGGGCAAATGTTCTCCACCATTTTCATGACACAGTCTTTGATAAACGCACCTTCAGTAAAATGTTTGCCATGTTTAGCTATTAACATGGCCACTTCATAGCTGGCTTTGGTGATGTTTTCCTTTGACTCACAGGCCTGCGTGAAGAATCGCTGTTGCGATGTCAGAGCAGCTTGGAGTTGCTTCACTTTTTCAGCGCGGTCACTCCCTGTTAGCTTGTCGTATGTTATAGTATGTTTAGTCTCGTAGTGTCTCTTTACGTTGAAGTCCTTTAACAAGGCAACCGTCTCTTTACAAATTAGACAAACACAATTGTCTCGATTTTCAGTGAAGAAGTATTGTAATTCCCACCGCTCCTGAAAGCGGCGGCCTTCACTGTCAACTTTTCTCTTTTTTGTTGCAGTCGCCATGGCGGAAATGACTCGAAGGGTTCGCGGCCCGGATGCAGAGCCAGATAGCATTAGAATGGTGCTGCCACCGTGTGGTCAAAGGAGGAATCACATCTTTAAAGTTTCATGAGTTTTTTATTCTGACAGAGCTAGCGAGCCATAAATAACACATTATAAGACCGAAGCTGCGGGCCGTAGGAAATCTGACCGCGGGCCGTGATTGGCCCGCGGGCCGGACTTTGGACATGCCTGGTGTACGAGGAGCCCCGAGGTTGTGGCTGTGACCCACATCCACGGCCGTGCTGTGGACGATCCCTAATAGAGGTGAAATGTGGGGGCCAACGCCCGCCTCGCAGCTCCCTGCGAGCGGGTGGGGTGCGACGTCCACCCCCTCGACTCCCCCTCCTCCTCGTCGGCCGCCTCTCGTCGGGCCCCCGCCGATCGGGTGATCGCCCCCCCCCCCCCGCGCCAGCGCCCTCTCTGAGGGACATCGCTAATTGGCTGGCTCACCACCGCCCGGGGTTATCTCCCACACGCGCCCACGTTCACCACCACAAAAAACGAACGCGGTGGAGTGCACGCGCGCTCCCCTGCAGGCGGGTGTTTTACACAAAGGCGCTAATCAAATAAATGGCGGCAGTATGAATTTGCGCGCACGCCTCGCCGTTAATGCTATTACCGCAGTATAAACACGCTGTGCAAACGCCGATGAGCAGGTTTATCGCACCCTGCCCCCGCCCTCTTTACTCACGCGGCACACTGTAGGCGCACGTTTTGCACACACGTGCGCTTAAACACGCGCTAGCGTCGGCGGCCGTGTATGTTTTAATACACGCGCGCCTCACACACGCGCTCAAATTACCAACACCGCGCCGACGCTGCAGCCCCGCGCTCGCTCTCTCCCGCACACCGTCTCCCCGCGCAGTCGCGCCACACTTAAGTCGCAGACACCACGCCGAGGTTCTACCCATACACACAGAAACACATTGCACCGATACTCTGAAATAAAGTTTATTAACGGTGCAAATACACACTACCTGGAGGTGGAATATTTCGCGAGGAGAGCCTAGCCTAACTCTGCCTATGAACCCAGTCACACAAACATTCTACCACGTACCTCGAAGCTGGACTTGCGGCGTCCCACGGACGCTGAGAGAGTCTGAGGGAGGAGGACGAGGGAAGACTTGACCTATCACTGTCTCGCAACAGCACTCGCTGGCATCACACGGGTGCTGGTGAGCCACTCGAAGAGGCAGGACGGCAAGGAGAGGGTCTTGACTGCCCGGAGGTTGAAGCCAAGAGAGCGAAATCGTCCCCTGGCTCTTTTTATGCTCTAAACTTCAAAGGCCCAGGGTGACGTTGTACTGCGCAGCCAATCGGGCACTTACCTGTGCTGCCGCTCCTTTTTATTTCTTCTCCCATGGGGGAGTGCTGCTGCTCCGCCCACCCATCGTTCTCCCGTGCCCAGTAGTTCTAGTCTAGGGGTCTGCACTTTTTGCCTAATATTCCACTCTCAGCCTCTCCCAATGTCGTGAATAACTTATTGCGGTTGGTCCAGTGAACCTTTTCCTTCTGCGCCCATACAATTTTAAGCTAATTTAGGGGCACCGCAAATGTAACATGTCCTGTGAGGGTCGGCCAATCTCCTGGCACCGGGAAACCGTGGGACTCTCCCTCTAGGGGCCCTTTGGATTAAAGCCGATGTGCCAGGCAATCCCCTGCTGGGACCCGACGTGGGCGTGCTGCGTGCGAGTGTATGTTTAGTGCGGGGGCCGGGAGGGAATCGTTGCTCCGCGGTCGTGGCACCACAGAAACCCTCCGGTACAGCACCACGTGACCACTGTCTCTGACCCAGGCTTCACGGAGACTTGGCGGGTTCCGTGGTTCACAGAGCGCCCCAGTGGCAAGATGTTAGCTACCTTGCTTAGCATACAGGAGGCCATGGGTTTGTATGTACATATGTTGAACTTCTTTCGCTCCGTACGTAGCCAACCGTTCTAATCGGAGGTTCGATTTTGACCTTGACGCCTGCTGTATATTTGGAGTTTGCATGTTCTCCCCGTGGTCGCGTGGATTTTTCTCCGTGTCCTCCAGTTTTTTCCTCCACATTTAGAATCAACATGCGTATTTGGCTGCTATAAATCTCCACGTGATAAGCCACTTTGTTGAGCTATCATTTATGGCCAGGTCGCTTCTGAAAAAGAGCAATATAGCTTCGTGGGCCTTACCTGGAAAAAACATTTTTTTTATAAATATAGTTTAAAGGGTCTCGCGCTGCTTGGCGGGCCACCTGGTTTTGTCAGTGTTATCTAAGCCCACGCTCACTCGCGTGCGAGTGATCCTTGCTGGAGACTCTCTGCCAGGCCCCATTACCTTTCAGGCATAGTGCAATACTCGGGACAAACATCCCAATGTGCAGGGCCATCTGGTGTAAAAATCTTGAGACTCAGCGATGCCTCCTTGAAAAAAAAATGTGATGTCAATTCAGAGTGTCTCTCCACTCAAGCAAGAATTATGGCAGAGCTGATGTATGTTGGAGAATCTGAGTCAACGGTGGACATTCCACATTCCAATGACGAGGGCCAGTTTATCTTTATGCTAACCACTATTTCTCCAAACAAAGTGGTACTCATGTTACCGACTCCATCGGGATGATGGGCTAAGAGTTCCCTTCAACCGAGATAAGAACGAGCAGGCTTGTGGTTGTGTTTTAGGGCTGCTGACCACAGAAACCTCGCCTTGCTAACCGCGTGCTCACAGGGGGTCCCCGCTGTCAGCAACTGTTCTCATTTACAGAGCTTTAATCCATCCACTGTTGGTTGTCGTTCATGGGGGTTGTTTGCCAATAATTCTCCCACGCTGGTACATGAGGGAGGGTGTGAACGGGATTGGCCCAAGCCCAGTTCAGACATCACTTTTTCCAATGGTGTTTGCCGTGGCCAGTCACTGAGTTCGTAGCACAGTGCGCTAACCTTTGTCCCACCACTTTGACTAGAGGCTGTCCCGTGATGGCAAAATAATTCAGCACTGTAGTCCATCAGACTATCGCCCCCTGAGTCTATGCTAACCGGCAGCGTTTCTTAATCAGGGAAACTCTGGCCACCCGGTATCAACTCTCCCGGTGTCATCAGCACTTGTCTACCACGCTCATGATGCGCACATCTCCTTCATGAGTGGAACATTAAAGACAAAAGCCACAGTGGTATGAGTGTGGCCATGCAACCAAAACTATGGGCCATAAAGTAAACCACGGTAGCCTGTGCTTGTTCAGGACAGGAGGAATAGCGAAACTATGCGAACTCTCTCTGCGGAAGTCGTCTCATTGTGGCTTGCAGACCTCGACATTGGTATCTAGCTCCTGAACGAATTGCTGCCATCATGCGCAAGAATAGAATAGGTTATGAAAGTAACCGGGCACGGTAGCTGAGTGATACCGGTCCAGCGCCCAGCCCTGTCCTCACTGAGCCGTGGCCTATACTGGGGCTTTGCACAGCTGTTGAACAATGGTCGTGAAACCATCTCGCCCTAGACTCTCTCACAAGCCTCCACTGGCTTCTCTATCACCAGCAGGGTCAGGCTGCGAGTTCGCCTGCTGCCCGTACCACCACTGCACCTCTACTTGCGGTCGTCCACCATGTCACTCTTCGCTCCTGTCGTCCTGCACTACAGCTCACGATGTAACTCTCCTGCACAGCGGCAGAGCCACTCAAATCTTCCTCCCTCCTCCCCTCTACACCAAGGAGCAGGACTAGAGTAACTACCGGGCGTTGTTTATCTGCTGCAGCCCGTGCCTCCGTCTTGAACGCGAGCATCATCCAGGCTGCACATTCACAGCAGCAGCAGCAGCATTCAATCTACACCGACTTTGAAGATACTCTTAAAAGTCCCAGCTTCTTCTCAAAGACCCCATCTCTTGCCTGGCTTTCGAGTGATACTCAGCTTTGCTCCACGCCTCAGACTCACGCATTACAAATCCCATCGCTGTTATTATTTTTTATTCTGGTTCATCCACATTCGCCCTCTATCAACCCCCTACCGTGAGGCTGCGGGCCCGACGCCAGCCCCCTCAGACACTGCCCACTGCAGGCCTCTGAGAGGCCTCTTCGGCACTGACCTGTCTGGCCAGGATGGTCCTTCCAAGCGCTTCAACACTCGCGTCACTCTCTTGCTCTCTCTGGATCACCGAGGCACTCCAAACCAGGGTTGCCAGATGATTACCAAGAACCGGTCACTGGTTCTTGGGGAATGTCAGTAACGAATTCACCGATGGGCGCTCGAGGACGTAACAAACGGCCCGGTGGCCCAAGTCACCGCCATGTGGTTCACGTGCCCTCGTCTCTCAGCTACAAGGCAAAGGCGCAGCCCGGCGCTCCACTAGAGGGAGACCTAGAGGGTACTTGGTCTCCTCTTCCACGACGACCAGACGTCTTTGAAGAGATGGGAGTACCCACACTTTACCCCACCACACGCGACGTCTGTGAATGACGTGGGATTCCTATCACCGCAACAGAATTACAGTGCAGGCTGGAGAGCCACGACCTTCAAACAACACACACAAAAAACCGCACTCAAAGCACCCCACATTTGTACATTATGGAACAACCATCAGCAGTTCCTGAAGAACTGCATTGTGGTCACACTTATGTATAGTTTCCATTGGCAGACTTTGCAGCAGTGAACATGGGTGACTCCTCTGATGATGAGTCTTAATGCGGGTGAAACCGCTCCACAGTTGTTTATCACAGCATCACTGCTTCTGCTGGTTAGTCGGTGGTCACATTTACTCAAATAGATTTTGCTGGTGACTAAAGAGGGCACCATAGTGCCGTTTCTCAGGAAGTTCTGATGGCTTTTGCAATTGTGCGCAATGGCTTGAGTGCTTTTTTTAAACGTTTTGTTGTGTTGTCTGAAATGTGTCCGTATGTTCTCCTCCTGTTCTGCATGGATTTCCTCCCAGAGCTAAACCCACACCCAAAGTTAACCGGTATTGGCTAAAACATCCCAATCTGAAAATTAATGACCTGCAAATTACTCATTTGCAATCACAGCAGCAGAAACAACTCTGCAGCACTCTCCTGAAAACGAGTCTGGAAATTCAGTGAAGATTTCCTGGGTAAACGGGCTTCACAACAACAGCAACAACATTAATGAGCAGACCATTGGAAGGTATGGATCAATATTGTCCGCCAAACCAACATAGGCCAGGTATGCACCGTTAAACTGACGATGGTTGTTCAGCAGAACGTGGCCCATGGAACAAACGCCGTTGGGGTCGTCCAAAGTTCCCGGCAACTCCCTCAATTCACCGCGAGGGGCCCGCTCAGGGCGTCGTCGCCACTCAGTGAGCGTGGCTACACGGAGCTCTCGTCCAACGTGGCAACGCTCCCCACCAGTTGCACCGTGTGCTCCGCGGGCCCGGCCCCCGGTGGGTCGGGGCCCCCCACGGGAAGGGACCCGGCCGGCGCCGCCCGCCCCTTCCCGCGGCCCCAGCGCGTCTTGGTAAAGATGCTGAGCCCGCGGCCAAACACTCCCCCTCCGGTGGCGTCCGTGGAGGAGTCGCTCTCCGTGATGCCGTGGCTGCTGTCTCCTCTCCTCTCCCTTCTCCCCGCCGCCGCCACTGCTGCCGCTCCTGTCCCCGCCATTCTGCCACCAGCCCCATTCTCCTCAGCGTCTTTGCTAAAGCGGCAGCACAGGCACTGCCAGAATGCGTGGCGGAACCGGGGGGAGCTTAGGCAGTAAAGCGCCGGGTTGACGGTGGAGCTGAGGAAGAAGAAGCAGTCGGTGATGCGGTGCGTGACCTGGAAGGCGCGGTAGTAGGCCACGGTCCACTCGCCGTGCGAGCGCACCACGCTCATGATGCGCGTCGCCTGGAAGGGCAGCCAGCACACGGCCAGCGCCAGCACCACGAGCTCTGCGGGCACACACGCACACACATGCACAGATGAAGCACGTCATTCGTTGGCACGTCACCCATCAGAATGTTAGTCATCGGCAGGGTTCCAAAAGTCCAACCCCCCTGTTACTTGTGTTGGAACCTGGACAGGTTGAAGTACGGTGGGGTATTTGACTCTACGGTAGCCGTAAAGGCCTGGCAGGAACCCTGATAACACCCAGCTGATGGGGCGCTGGCACAGGTCCCACAACGGCAGAACAGGCGCAAGTGGGTACTTGTACCCTCAACGACTGTGATGGCAGATTAGGGCTACAGCAGAGCACGGTTCCCAATCGTCTTGGTGTAGCTTGCCATTGGGCTACGGCCATGCTCTGTCAAGATTGTGCGGTTGCTGGCGTGCAACGGCAACTCCACATTAAGAGAAAGCATGCACAAGCCCCTTCCATTGGCCGTTTTTCACCCAAGAACACAATAAGCCCTTTGGCGATCAACTAATAGCGACAGGAGCAGGGTTGTGATGTCTGGAGGCTCCCAGGCATTACTTGGCAATTATAAGACGGTCGTCTGACACTTGAATGAGGCAGGAGTGAAATCTGGCAGCTGTAACTGCGAATGAGCAGTCCTCTGGAGGGTCCATTCTGCTCACCCAATTCGGGGAGGGGACCAGAAAAACCCGTCCTCAAACATAGTCCGCCTCGTAACCCTCCTTACAGATGTCTGAAGCCCGAAGTCCAACGAAAACTCCATGACTTGAAGAACATATGGTGGGTTGAGAGAACACAGGAGATTCAGCATCTGGCAAATAACCAAGACAAGCGTGGATTCGTCAGTGCCATAAAAACCATCTATGGCCCCAAAGGACCAAAACTTCTGAGAGCCAAGGATAGAGGGGACCTCATTAAAGATAGAGAGGCCGTGAATGCCCACTGGAGGACACTTTGCAAAGTCATTCTCACCCAATATACTGACATCGATGAGAACGTCCTTGTATCCATCCCGCAGCCAATGAATAATCATGGCTATATCCCCGCCCAGCAAGAGCTTTAAAAAGGCCATTCAACAACTTAAAAACAACTAGGCTCCGGGGCAAGTTAAATTCCTGCCTGAAATACTCAAATATGGCAGATAAGAATTTTTGTCACAAATTCATGGCTTATAAACCTCGTTTGGGAAGAAGAGAGCCTGCCACGAGATCTCAGAGACGCATTGATAGTGACAATATTTAAGAAAGGTAACAAGTCTGATTGTGATAATTATAGAGGAATCTCGCTGCTATCTGCCACAGGAAAAGCAATCACAACAACCCTCCTGAACTGCCTCCGCCCAGTAGCAAAAGTGCTCCTTCAAGAGTCACATTGTGGATTGAAGAGGCACAAGTGACATGATCTTCGCCGCACGACAAATAAAGGAAAAAGGCAGGGAACAATGCCAACCTCTGCTTATGGCATTCTTTGACCTCAACAAAGCCTTCGAGTCGGTCAAATCGAGAGGGGCTGTGGAACATTCTCCTTAAATTCGGTTGCCCACAAAAACGTGTAGACATCCATCGTCTACTCCACGATAACATTTGAGCTGTGGTCCTCTCCAACGGACCTACCCCAGACCCTTTCCCAGTTTGGACCGAGCTCAAGCAAGGCTGCGTCACTGCACCAACACTTTTTTCATTTTATATCACCGCGATGTTCCACCTCACTCCCAACAAGCTCCCTACAGGTGTGGAGCTAATCTACAAAACAGACGGGAAACTGTGCAATCTACCGCCAACTCCAATATAGACCAAATACCATGTAAATCTCGGTCATTGAATTGCGGTATGCATATGACGCATGTGTCTGCGCACACTTAGGGCTTCAAACCATTGTAGATGTTTTAATGGAAGCATACAGGATAATGGAGCTCCTGACTAACATCCAGAAGACCAAAGTCCTTCAGCAACCAGTTTCTTCTGAACATTACCACCCCCTATCAATCAAGATCCATAATGAGGTCCTTGAAAATGTGGATCACTTTCCATGACTTGGAAGCCACCTGTCTGCGAGGGCAGACATTGATGATGAAATATACCATCATCTCCAAAGTGCTAGCGCAGCCTTTGGCTGCCTGAAGAAGCGAGTTTCCCAAGACCAAGACCTCAAGACCTATACCAACGTCATGTTATACAGGGCAACAGTGATCTGAAGTATGCTTCGAAGGCATGGACAACCTACAGCAAGCACCTCAAAGCACTGGAGAGGTACCACCATCACTGCCTCTAAAAAAAGAATCCAAAATCGATGGCAGGACAAGACAGGGGAAACAATGTCAGCATCTTCCCCCAGGCCAACTTCCCTCGCATTGAGGCACTGATCACTCACAACCACCTCCGCTGGGTGGATCATGTCTTCCGCATGCCAAAGCAAGTCCTTTACTCTGAACTCCACCATGGTAAGAGATCCCCAGGAGGACAGAAGAAAATGTGCAAGGACGTTCTTGAAGCATCATTTAAGAAATGTGACATTAACATCAACTCATGGGAGTCCCTAACTCAAGCTCGCACAAACTGGAGAAGCATTCGGGTTGGCATCATGCATCAAATGGGTGCAGTGAAAGGAGTGCGCTGTAGCTCAATACACCCATCCCATCCAGAACCTCCTGCCCCACCTGTGGCAGAGTTTGTGGATCTCACATTGGGTTTTATAATCATATAAGAACATTTCGCTTTAAAGCTTTCGTGACTGCAGGGATTTATCTTCTTGGTTCTTTCGGTAAAGTCACGTAGAAGGGAAGTAATAAAATAATAAAAATAAAACATAAGTAATAAAATAAAATAAACATAATAATAAAATAATTATTATGTTTTATTTTTATTATTTTATTACTTCCCTTCTACGTGACTTTACCGAAAGAACCAAGAAGACATATAAGAGCACACAGAACCACTGTGAAAGGAAGTCATCCTTGATCCGAGGGACTGCCAAATAATAAAAGTTATCAGCACGTTACTCATCAGCACGTCCATCATTGGCACGTCCCTCATTGGCAAGTCCATCATCGGTATATCACTCATGGGCACGTCACTTATCGTCACATTACTTGTCATTACGTCACTCATCATCATGTCACTCGGCAACATACTTGGGTGTTTACGTGGCCCAGTGGTATTGAGTTCGCCACTCGTTTTGCGGATCGAAACTGGCAAGCTGCCCTGGTTATTGCTGCGGGCGTATTCACCTAAAGTACATGACACGCCAACTGCCTCGCAGTGGACGTTAAACAACCCCGTGACGTCACTCGAAACGGGTCGGCCATTACCGACGTCACAGTCCGAATTATTGAAATTTAAAAAATGACAAAAGACTCGATGGGAATTAAACACAGCAACAACTATTGCCGGCTGATGTTGCAGGCTGCTTGTGCAGGCTGCTAGTGGTGGTAGTGGTGGCGTTGTGTGTGGTGATCACTCTTCCCGTGTGTGACCTCTTCGCCCCCAACGGGGTCACTGCCTTGCCATTCACCCAGCGAGGGAGCGCGCGCCTGTGTGTGGCCGGACGGCACGCCCTGAGCACACACGCAACTGCGCTAGGCAGAGACTCATAAACACGTGGCCTGCTGAGTCATCCTCGTCCATGCCGCCAGATCCCAAAAGCGTGCGGATCTCCCGTGTCCGGAGTCCCTCGTTTATACACAACTGCCGGTACTCTGGTTCGCGCCCGGACATTTGAGTGGAGAGCGCTTACACGGTGAACAGGTCGGCAAGCTACTGTTGCTGTCCCCTATAGAGGGTAGCCACCTGTCCTGGTTTGACAGCCCTGGATTCGACACACAGTGTAGTAAACGTGTGCGGAGAAGCTGTCGCCCCTACCACTGACCCACTCACTCACCCACTCATTCATTCGCCAAATGACTAAGTAACTCACCCAAAACAAAGGCAAAGATCTCCTGGGTAGCAATCCACAGGCCGTTGGGGCAAGTGTTGTTAACGAGCACTGTTCTGCCTCACGGCAGGGGTTTTGCCTCACGGCAGATGGGGGGGGGGGCGTATGTACACAGGAATTTCCTGTTTTTGATGCTAATTTTGGTCACGTGACCAGGAAGTTGCGATTTAAGATTCCCGCTCAACCATGCGGGCGTCGGCCATTACACACATAATTCAAGATGGCGGCACACATCGTGTCCCAGTGAAGCCAGCCGCAATTGTCAATTGTGGGACTTTAAGAAGCATTGTCTGTAAGTTCGTTTATGTTCTTATAATTTTGGCAATGGTGTTATAATGTTAGAATGACCGTTATAATGATGTAAATGCCTTTATAATGCTGTTAAATTGTTATGATAAATACGAGGCCTAGTTAACAACGAAGCCTGCTACTTTCCTGATTGTGAATGTTACTTGTAATTTAATAAGTCGAGTCAAACTTGTTCCCAAGTAACTATATTGCGATCCTGAGAGCAAGGATGACGAAATATCTCATCCACAATTTAGTGTTATGTGTAATACTGTACATTTGGGGTGCAGTGTGATGAATACACGATGTACCTTTATGTAACACAGCAGCTTATGCTCTTGTATAGTTATTCAGTGGTAATGTAGGGGCCTGGTCTATCTAGGATATATTGTTTAGAAACATGTTATCTAAGACAATGTTATGATGCTGTGATGTTCATTCATTGTTTTGGTGTTCCGGGTATTAACAGATGCTGTATCTGTGCTGTTTTCTTACCAGTTTTACCTCGTTAAACTCAATAAATGACGTTTGGAGTCGGACATTCATCCTGGCTCTGAGGGTTTATTGGACGTGAGGTTAACTACTCAGATAGCGGTGCAACGCAATGCACAGCGAGGCCGAGACAAGCACTTATGGAAGCCGGAACGGCACTCGAGCGGGTGGGTGGCCAACACCACGGCCATTCGCTTTTGTCTCCGCAATGGAGAGATGTCTGCACATCAGAACCGGTTCAAATATCCGCCACTGTCATTGGTCGCGAGTGGGAATTGAACTCGTGTCACCGGGTTTGTAACGCAGCGCACTAACCACTACGCTGCCGCTCCCCACTACTACTCACCGACTACCCACTGACTCATCAGCACGTGACTCACACACTTGGGTTGCCACCTGCCCCGGTTTGGCCAGGACAATTCAGGGGAATTCGCATCACCAGTGCTGGTGGGCAGCCAAAATGTATTTGCCCTGAGACCCGGTCCCGGTGCGACTGCTGTTCCTGTGTGGAACGAGTCCCGGTTGGTTCTACAGTGCACAAGGTAGCGTCCCTTCTACAGACACCACCCCAACGGCTCAGCACAGATCAACTCAGCTACTCGCTGTCTGCCTCCCAACAGGCTTCCAAAAACCGTCTTGCTGTACTGCCTCCGACAAACGGCGCAGGCAGAGGTGGATCCAGAACCACGCACCCATCCGCCGCTGCCTGCACGCGGCGTGCGCGTAACGCTCCCATCCCTTCGCGATCCACCAACCCCTGGCATGAGCCGTGGATCTCTGCCGCCTCACCCAGCATGAGGACGCTCTGTCGCTTGGCTGCGTCCAGCTTGCTCCTCGGCGCCTTCTTGGTGCCCGTCATCACCCTCCGGCTCTTTCTCTCCTCCTTCCGATGCTCCTTCTCATCCTCCTCCTGCTCTCGCCCCAGCTGCTGGCGCTGCTCCTCATCCCCCTCATCCTCCTTCTCCTTCTTTTTGCTGCTGCTGCTGTCGCCCCCACCGCCCCCCTTCTCCCACTTGGCCGACACCTCCCCGGCGCCGAGCCCCTCGATGCGCACGACCATCTTGCGGCACATGTAGGCGACGGCGGCCAACACGACGAGGAAGACGGCGAGGCAAGTGTACACGGTGGCGCGCATCATCGTCTCGCGCGCGCGCAAGCCCGTACACACCAGCGCCGTGCCGTTGTGCCGCGCCAAGACGGCGGAGCAGCCGGAGGCTCGGGCGCGGCTCCGCGCGGTCGCCCGCAGCGCCTCGTAGGCGTCCTCCAGTCCCATGGCGAAGAGCATCGGCAGCGCCGACACGACGGCGAGCAGCCATACAGCGAGCAGCATCGCCTTGGTGCGCGAGCGCGTCATGGCGCGCGCGCGGAACGGGTGGCACACCGCCAGGTAGCGCTCGGCGCTGAACGCGGCGATGTTGAGCAGCGTGGCGTAGGTGCAGGCGTCCCACAGGAAGAAGTGCAGCTTGCAGGCGGCCTCGCCCGCGCCCGCGGGGCGCCACACTACCGTGGCAAGCTCCACGGGCACCCCCACCGCCAGCACGAGGAGGTCCGACACGGCCAGGCTCACCATGTGGTAGCTCACGCGGCTCTGCAGCCCCGCGCGCCGCCGACGCCGCACCGTCACGAGCACCGTGACGGCGTTGCCCACCACGCCCGTGACGAGCAGCGCGGAGTAGAGTAGCGTGAGGAGCACGCGCGCCCACGTGGGCACCTCGTGGAACCTATGCAGGTCCACGCAGCCCTCCCGCTCCTCCTCCTCCATCAAGGCGCCGACCATCGCCGACGTGCGGGGAAGCCCGAGGGGACGCGGATCTCCCGCAGCACGGGGAGTCACAACGCCTTGGTGAGACTCGCGGCGTCTCGCAAGTGGCTGCCCCGGGAGTTCGTCCGGCCACGTCGCGGACACCTCGCCTTATTCCGCTCTTTAAAAACCACACAGTTACATTGAATATGGTCAATGGAATATCGGGTCTACATTAATCGCGTTATAATCTAGTTGTAGTGCCTCAAGCCATTAATCCCGACTCCAAGCCGGTCTGGTAGTGGCTTTGCGGAAAATAAAGTGATAAATGAATCCCACACCAGAAACATCATCACCACCAGCACCCCACTATCATCATCATCACTACCACCCACTACCATCATCATCACCACTACCATCATCACCACTACCACACCACTATCATCACCACTACCACCCACTACCATTATCATCATCACCACTACCATCATCACTATCATCACAACAAACACCCCACTACCATCATCATCATGACCACTACCATCATCACCACTACCATCATCACTATCATCACCACTACCACCCACTACCATCATCATCACCACCACCATCATCATCATGACCATCATCACCATCACTACCACACCACCATCATTATGAGCACCTCCATCATCACCACCATCATCACTACCATAACCACCACTATTATCATGAGCACCACCATCATCGCCACCCCCATGATCATTACCACACCACCACCATCATTATCATCACCACACCATGACCATCATCAGACCCACCATCATCACCACCACCATCATCATGAACATCACTATCATCAGCACCACCATCATAACCACCATCACCACCATTAACACGACACCAAACTACCACCACATTACCACCACACCACCATCATCACCATCATCACCACCACCACCACACCACCACCATCATCACCACCACACCACTTTAATCATCATCATCACCACTATCATCATCACCACCAAACCACTACCATCATCATCACCACTATCATCATCACTACTAAACCACTACCATCATCATCACCACTAACCATAATCATCACCACCATCATCACCACCACAGCACCACCACAGCACCACCACACCACTACTATCATCATAATCATCACTATCGTAATCACCACTATCATCATCGCCACTATCATCACCACCACCACACTAGCATCACCATGACCATCACTACCACACCACCATCATAATGAGCACCTCCATCATCGCCACCCCCATGATCATCACCACCACCACACCACTATCATCATCATCATCACCACACCAACACATCACCACCACCACCACACCACGACCATCATTAGAACCACCATCACCACCACCATCATCATGAACATCACTATCATCAGCACCACCATCATAACCATCATCACCACCATTACCACACCACCAAACCACCACCACATCACCACACCACCAACATGATCACCACCATATCACCACCACCATTATCTCACAACCACGCCACCATTATCACCACCCCACCACCACTAGCGGGGAGCACAGGAGGTGCATCAGCCAGTCATATCAGTCGACCCATAGCACTCGGGTCCGTCTCGTGACTTTCTGCATCTAACCTGGCACATCAGTCAACCCATAGCACCTGGGTCTGTTCCGCGACCTCCTGCACCTAGCCTGGCACATCAGTCAACCCAGAGTACCCGGGTCTGTCCCGTAACCTCCTGCACCTAGCCTGGTACATCAGTCAACCCATAGCACCTGGGTCTGTCCCGTGACCTCCTGCTAGCAGGGAAAGCGTTTGACACTTCACCTGACGGCCTCCAGTTGCACCTAGCCTGGCACAAGTGCCGTGTTGACGTCACTGATATTGTGGCGAATTGCGGCTTTTGCTGCAGTGTCCAGCTGCGTGCTATGAGCAGGTTCGTGTGTGCAGGTGTGAGCGTGTGTAGGCGTGTTTCGGTATGCAGGTCTGTCTGTATATGTGCGTAGGTGTTAAACGCGCATGTGTGGGGAGCGGTCGTGTCGTGGTTAGTGCGCTGTGTCTACGAACCCGGCCACGCGAGTTCGTTTCTCGTTTACGGTCACCAACCCCAGTGACGACTTTCTGAACCATGTCTGGGTCTCTCCTAGGTCTGCTCAGCCTCAAACAAGGACCTGGTGCGACGTGTAAAGATCACCAATTGGGAAACAAAGGCGGCCGGGCGGGCGTGGTGCCGGCCACCCCACCCCCTTGAGTGCCGTCTCGACCTTCGTAGGTGCTACTCGCGAACAGCACTTGCCCCAACACTCTGTGCGAACTAGACGCGTGTACAGGTGTGCACAGCTGTGCACAGCTGTGTACAGCTGTGTACAGGTGTGTACAGGTGTGTGCAGCTGCGTATAGCTGCGTACAGGTGTCTACAGGTGTACGCAGGTGTGCGCAGCTGTGTACAGGTGTACAGGTGTGTACAGGTGTGTACAGCTCTGTACAGGTGTACGCAGGTGTGTGCAGCTGTGTACAGGTGTGTACAGGTGTGCACTCTCACCTGGGGGAACTCGTTCGCGCCGCTCGTCCCGCGTCAACTTCACCTGAGAGCCGCGATCCCCGCTCCCTACAGGGGGTCCCTCTGGGGGTCCCGTGGAGTCTTGCGAAGCAGAGCGCAGAGCCCTACCCTCTCTCACCCGTCCTGGGCCCCTGGGTCTCCGTGGAGGAGTGGAGGATTTACAATTCCTCGGCTCCCTCACCCCCCCCCTATACACACCCCTTCCTGAGCCTCTCCTCGTCTCTCCGTCTCTCCACTCTCCCCCACACACCTGTTGCCTCTCTCTTCCTCCGTCTCCCTTCTCGGCTTTATTTTATACACCTTTCCGCCTCCCACCACTGCGGTCCTGCATTACTCTCCCTTCACAACTCCTCCCCTCCCTCTCCATTGACCCCACCTCTATCCATCTCCGCTATCTCTCTCCCCCTACATTCTAGACCTCCTTCTTCCTGTCCCCTGTCTACCTACCGGCTCTCTCCCGCCCCTTCCCCTCACCTCCTCCCTCCCTCCCTCCCACTCTCTTTCTTGTCCCCTCCCTGGCCTCGCTCCCGCCCCTCCCCCTCCCTCTGCACTGTTCCCGGCACGTGAGGTCACCAGTCACACTGTGCCCTCTGCAGGCCGTGACCACGTTCTGTATCCCCACGTGAAAAAGCGGACTGTGGAAGATGACATCACAGAACTACTGCCAAGTTTCATTCAATTGTCCCTTCTCAACACAAGGGGTGGGTGGAGCACGCTCTCGCAGGCTCTGCCTGCCGCAAAGATTGTCGCCTGGCAATGAAGCCCGCCGAATGCTGATCCTCGGAGCTGGCATTTTGCCAAATAACGCGAAGACCAAACTGAAGTCCACGATTTTGCCAGCTGGTTTTGAATTTCTAGCAATGCTAGGTCCGTGCGTCAGACACGGCCATTATGAACCTTAGATATGTTGATGTAATAGAGAGGGAGAGCATGTCCATGAATAGGCGCAGGAGGGCGACAGCACGAGTGTCTGCTGCCCCAGACCATTGGGACCGCAGGGGATTGAGGAGGGCGGAATAATATTTTACTTTCAGGCGATGATGCGAGTGATGGGGATATCGATGGTGAATCTACCGCAGACTGCTGTCCGGGAAACACAGCAGTGCCTTCCCTCGCGATGATAGCCTTGTGCCACACAGAGACAGCTACCACTGAGGGTGCCCCGATGCTATACCACAGAGCAAGATTCATCGCCTACGACTGTGAATCTACTGGAGGTTGCTGTGTCTGGACAACACAGCTACACGTCGTATCGGCGATTGCTTTGCTGGTGATGCGGGTGTTATAAATGTCCAGAAGAGGCGGGAGAGAGACACCAATGATCCTCTCAGCTGCTCTCACTATGCGCTGTAGAGTCTTGCGGCAGGACACGGTGCAGGTGCCGTACCACACGGTGATGCAGCTCGTCAAGATGCTCTCAACAGTGCCTCTGTAGAAGGTGTGCATGATGGGGGGCGGGGCTCCTGCTCTTCTCAGTTTGCGGAGAAAATACAGGCGCTGTTGGGCTTTTTTGGCCAGTGATGCAGTGTTGTGACTCCACGACAAGTCTTCAGAGATGTGCACACCCAGGAACTTGGTGCATCTCACCCTCTCCACTGCAGCACCGTTGATGGTTAGCGGAGTATGCTGGGTGTGCACTCTCCTGAAGTCCACGACAATCTCCTTCGTCTTCTCAACATTCAGGTGGAGATTGTTGTCCTTGCACCACGTGGCCAGCCTGCTCACCTCACTCCTGTAGTTTGTCTCATCACCGTTTTTGATGGCACCCACCACAGTTGTGTCATCCGCAAACTTAATGAAGAGGTTGGAGCTGAATGATGGTGTGCAGTCGTGGGTCAGCAAAGTGAAGAGGAGGGGACTCAGCACACATCCTTGGGGGACCCCTGTGTTCAGTGTGATGGTGCTAGAGGTGTTGCTGCCAACTCGAACTGCCTGTGGTCTCCCTATCAGGAAGTCCAATAGCCAGTTGCACAGGGAGGTGTTGAGCCCCAGGTGGTCTAGTTTGTGGATGACGTGTACTCAGGACAGTGTGAGTGGGTGAGCCAGTGGGTGAATTAATGAATCAAGAGTGGTGAGGGTGAGTGTATTGGTAATTTAGTGGGTGAGTGAATGCGTGATTGATTAGGATAAGCAATGGATGGGTATGTGAGTTGTTGAGCGAATGATCAGGTGGTGGGTTGGTGAGTGTTTGAGCGACACGGTACCCGTCTGTGAAACACTGCAGCGCCTTCCTTCGTGATGATGGGAACGATAGTGCCCATACCAAACGTACTTAACTTTTCCCATGAATTACCGATTGGGCAGTGGATAGGTTCAGGATTTGCCACTTGCGACATCAGGCCAGAGCAGACGTGTGATTGGGACCTCGCCAGAGCTGACTGATATCGGATGTGACAAGCGCCTTCACATTAATAACACGTGGCCTATTCATTTGAATTCATCGTCGGCAGAGCCGATGGGAATATTTCATTATTTACAGGGCTACCCTGGCGCGACTCCACTCCGTGCTAAGCCGCATCAGCAGCAGCTCGCGGGTAACAGAACCGAGACACGAGACGCGAACGCGTAAACTACAAACACATCCACACTTTAATAACGGCGACAACGACGACAAACAACAGCCACGACACCCGTGTTTATATAGTCGTGGCGACACGATCAGACACGCACACACTGCGACCACACAGACACGCGCACACACACCGCATGTGAACGGGGTTCCCTCTGCACCAGCACCACCGGGGCTCCTCGCGCGCATTCGGGGGAAATGTCGCACAGCGGCTACCGGACGGGGTGGGGGTCACGGCACGGGTTCTACCTGTTCTACTCACTCACTTTCGCTCGCTCGCTCACTCACTCACTCGCTCACTCACGGACTCACTCACTCACTCACGGACTCACTCACTCGCTCACTCACTCAATCTCGCTCGCTCACTCACTCACTCACGGACTCGCTCACTCACGGACTAACTCCCTCACTCTCGCTCGCTCACTCACTCACTCACGGACTCACTCACTCACTCTCGCTCATTCACTCACTCACGGACTCACTCACTCTCGCTCGCTCACTCACGGACTCACTCACTCTCGCTCGCTCACTCACTCAACCTCGCTCGCTCGCTCACTCACGGACTCACTCACTCTCGCTCGCTCACTCACTCAATCTCGCTCGCTCGCTCACTCACGGACTCACTCACTCACTCTCGCTCGCTCACTCACTCACGGACTCACTCACTCTCGCTCGCTCACTCACTCACAGACTCACTCACTCTCGCTCGCTCACTCACTCACAGACTCACTCACTCTCGCTCGCTCACTCACTCACGGACTCACTCACTCTCGCTCGCTCACTCACTCACAGACTCACTCACTCTCGCTCGCTCACTCACTCACAGACTCACTCACTCTCGCTCGCTCACTCACTCACAGACTCACTCATTCTCGCTCGCTCACTCACAGACTCACTCACTCTCGCTCGCTCACTCACTCACGGACTCACTCACTCTCGCTCGCTCACTCACTCACAGACTCACTCACTCTCGCTCGCTCACTCACTCACAGACTCACTCACTCTCGCTCGCTCACTCACTCACAGACTCACTCACTCTCGCTCGCTCACTCACTCACAGACTCACTCATTCTCGCTCGCTCACTCACTCACAGACTCACTCACTCTCGCTCGCTCACTCACTCACGGACTCACTCACTCTCGCTCGCTCACTCACTCACGGACTCACTCACTCTCGCTCGCTCACTCACTCACAGACTCACTCACTCTCGCTCGCTCACTCACTCACAGACTCACTCACTCTCGCTCGCTCACTCACTCACAGACTCACTCACTCTCGCTCGCTCACTCACTCACAGACTCACTCATTCTCGCTCGCTCACTCACTCACGGACTCACTCACTCTCGCTCGCTCACTCACTCACGGACTCACTCACTCTCGCTCGTTCACTCACTCACAGACTCACTCACTCTCGCTCGCTCACTCACTCACAGACTCACTCACTCTCGCTCGCTCACTCACTCACAGACTCACTCACTCTCGCTCGCTCACTCACTCACAGACTCACTCACTCTCGCTCGCTCACTCACTCACAGACTCACTCACTCTCGCTCGCTCACTCACTCACAGACTCACTCACTCTCGCTCGCTCACTCACTCACGGACTCACTCACTCTCGCTCGCTCACTCACTCACAGACTCACTCACTCTCGCTCGCTCACTCACTCACAGACTCACTCACTCTCGCTCGCTCACTCACTCACAGACTCACTCACTCTCGCTCGCTCACTCACTCACAAACTCACTCACTCTCGCTCGCTCACTCACTCACAGACTCACTCACTCTCGCTCGCTCACTCACTCACAGACTCACTCACTCTCGCTCGCTCACTCACTCACAGACTCACTCATTCTCGCTCGCTCACTCACTCACAGACTCACTCACTCTCGCTCGCTCACTCACTCACGGACTCACTCACTCTCGCTCGCTCACTCACTCACAGACTCACTCACTCTCGCTCGCTCACTCACTCACAGACTCACTCACTCTCGCTCGCTCACTCACTCACAGACTCACTCACTCTCGCTCGCTCACTCACTCACAGACTCACTCACTCTCGCTCGCTCACTCACTCACAGACTCACTCACTCTCGCTCGCTCACTCACTCACAGACTCACTCACTCTCGCTCGCTCACTCACTCACGGACTCACTCACTCTCGCTCGCTCACTCACTCACAGACTCACTCACTCTCGCTCGCTCACTCACTCACAGACTCACTCACTCTCGCTCGCTCACTCACTCACAGACTCACTCACTCTCGCTCGCTCACTCACTCACAGACTCACTCACTCTCGCTCGCTCACTCACTCACAGACTCACTCACTCTCGCTCGCTCACTCACTCACGGACTCACGCCGCCGCTCGCTCACTGCGCGTACCGGGGAAGATCGTCCGTGGGAGCGGGCGGCGCTGGAGCCGCGCCGCTCGGAAGACTCTGGGGTGGGGGGCTCGCCGCGGCCCACGCGCCCCGCTGTGGGGGGAGCGCGTCCGCCAGGCCGCTGCGTTTATTGCGTCTTGCCTGCCCGACGTCTACATTCATCCCCTGGGACAATAGAATCAATCTACATATCTCACGAAGCCACGTTCATTTACTTTCATGGAACGCTAGCAACGAAACATGCAGTCGCCTTCACAGAGACCCATCTGTCAACGCAGCGTTCATTCATTATTACTGAGCCATGTCCAGCGGTGGACATATAAATACAGAGGTCCCAGCATGACACCTGTTCGCCCTGCACAACCACGCTCACTGCCGTCTCCCTCTGCGCAGACACCGCGGCATGGGAGCAGGAAGCGCGTCTGATGTCGAGCAGTGCTGTCCGGCATTTCTCCCCAACGCTGACCATGTCGATAAAGGTGACATTCACGCTCCAATCGAGTCCTATCGTGCAGGTCCAGAGACATCAACCTCCATAAGTGGCATGTGTTTTTATGAAGAGCTAATCGATTAATTTGTTACGTGGCTTTCGATTTAAAGCTTTCGTGACTGCAGGGATTCATCTTCTTGGTTCTTTCGGTAAAGTCACGTAGAAGGGAAGTAAAAAAAACATAATAAAATAATTCTCACGACGTTTCGGCTACAACGCAAGCAGCCGTCTTCAGGTGAAGAATGAGACACTGGGTTGGAGGTGCACCTCTAACCCAGCGTATATATAAGCTCATAGCTTGGCAGTGTCTCATTCTGAAGACGGCTGCTTGCGTTGTAGCCGAAACGTCGTGAGAATTATTTTATTTTATTATATATATATATTTTTACTTCCCTTCTACGTGACTTTACCGAAAGAACCAAGAAGATTGTCACGTGGCATTCACTCTCATAGCGACGTCTCTCTATTGAAGCGACTTTTGTTGAGTTTAATCGAGCTGAATTACACATACACCGACTCTATCTCCCATCGAGCCACAATGAAGCGACGATTCAAACCCTAACGGGCTCAACGACTCCGGGTACCGAAGCTCGTTCCTCACCAAAGTGCACAAGATCAGTGGCACGCGGCGAGCGTCTGAAAGTCGTGGGCCTCCCCTAGGTCAACTCAGCTTGAAATGGGTACCAGTTGTGGTGTGCGAATATCGCTGATTTGGGAAGACAAAAAGGGCTGCTAGGATGTGGCGCTGGCCACAGCATTCCCTCGTGTGCTGTGCCGGATTTCACAGACGCTCGCTAACGAAACTTGCCCCAGCACTCTGTCAAGCCAAATTGGGGATGGTGTCTGTCCATGCGTGAGTGTGAGCAGGGAGTGGAACCCATTGATTTCAGGGTACGGTTCTCATCAACCCAACCCGTTGAACCGGTTACAGTTCATCTTCTTGGTTCTTTCGGTAAAGTCACGTAGAAGGGAAGTAATAAAATAATAAAAATAAAACATAATAAAACAATTCTCACGACGTTTCGGCCACAACGCACGCAGCCGTCCTCAGGTGAAAACCAGGTCTGTCGAGGCGACAGCGTCTGAATGAAACAGCACACGTACTTGGAGCATATATATATAAGCTGGGTTGGAAGGGGGAAAAAGAGCGCCTTGACAAAAGAATATGCATATCAAGAGGCATTTAGCATATTTATGGGAAATGCAGGTATGTGATTAGTACTACTTATGCCCGTGCATTATGCAGGATTAGCAACATCAAAGGGAGGGGATAGGGGTAGCATTAATAAAGGGAAGGAGTGTTAATAGTATGTAGCTGCAGTAACTAAAACCACCACGTAAACAACTAAAGTATAAACTACATAGTATCATCAGTATACTAATGTATTACTTACTGTTAGTAACTCAGCTTATTGTAGAGTATATTTAGTATACTGATGATACTATGTAGTTTATACTTTAGTTGTTTACGTGGTGGTTTTAGTTACTGCAGCTACATACTATTAACACTCCTTCCCTTTATTAATGCTACCCCTATCCCCTCCCTTTGATGCTGCTAATCCTGCATAATGCACGGGCATAAGTAGTAATATTCACATACCTGCATTTTCCATATCCCCTCCCTTTGATGTTGCTAATCCTGCATAATGCACGGGCATAAGTAGGTCTAATCACATACCTGCATTTCCCATATCCCTTCCCTTTGATGCTGCTAATCCTGCATAATGCACGGGCATGAGTAGTACTAATCACATACCTACATTTCCCATAAATATGCTAAATGCCTCTTGATATGCATATTCTTTTGTCAAGGCGCTCTTTTCCCCCCTTCCAACGCAGCTTATATATATGCTCCAAGCACGTGTGCTGTTTCATTCAGACGCTGTCGCCTCGACAGACCTGGTTTTCACCTGAGGACGGCTGCTTGCGTTGTGGCCGAAACGTCGTGAGAATTGTTTTATTATGTTTTATTTTTTTTATTTTATTACTTCCCTTCTACGTGACTTTACCGAAAGAACCAAGAAGATACAATCCCTGCAGTCACGAAAGCTTTAAATCGAAACGGTTACAGTTCAATTGGGTCAAAGCGGTCTCAGACGGTTCTGTTTCTAGTTAACCAATTGCTAAAAACCGGTTAATGTGAATTCAAATTCCATCGCTCCCACGGTTAAAACGGATAACCGAAATATTCACATTTTTCATTTTGAAAGAAACATTATTTTATTTGGGTTTGCTTTTCAGTCGTAGGACACAAACGGTGAAGAATGTTTGGACTCTCTGGGTGTGAGACTGTCACGCTGCTGGGTGTGTGGTTGGGGAGGACTGCCGCTGTTCACTCACGACCACTGCGGGGTATACGCGAGTGGATGTTAACCACGGCACCTCACATTTAACGATCAAAGTTAGCACAGAACGAAAGTCAAAGTAAGAATGTGTGGGTCATGATAATTGAAAGGCCATGGGTCAGGGCAGCTCAATAATAACGAAAGGGCGCTGCTATATTCCTGTGCAGCCCGTGAGCTTGTAATCAGCAACACGCTGTGCTCGCATCGGCTCATCAACACAAAATCTCGGGTGCATACCAGGTCCAAGCAAGAACATCTGTTGCACTGTATCGTAGTAGAACAACAAATGTAAACCCATGTTTTTATTGGTAATTTGTACATGTTTGTGTTGTGTGCTGGTGTCAACGAGCACGTCTGTGTGCTCGAATGGGTGAACGTTTACGTTCATAATAAAATCATCGGCAAGTTCACTGCGCAACATCCCAGGGACAAGCCTTGGGTAAAGTACCACTCTCTTTTGTGCTGATTCTACCACCCTCAGTCTCTCCACCCTCAGCCTCCCAGGGGCAAACTGAGGCCAGTTTCTCACTGCTCTCGCCACTCTCCTTGGTGCTGATTCTACCACTCCCAGTACCTCCACCCTCAGCCTCCCAGGGGCAAACCGAGGCCAGTTTCTCACTGCTCTTGCCACTCTCCTTTGTGCTAATTCTACCCCCCTCAATCTCTCCACCCTCAGCCTCCCAGGGGCAAACCGAGGCCAGTTTCTCACTGCTCTTGTCGCTCTCCTTGGTGCTGATTCTACCACCCTCAATTTCTCCACCCTCAGCCTCCCAGGGGAAAACCGAGGCCAGTTTCTCACTGCTCTTGTCGCTCTCCTTGGTGCTGATTCTACCACCCTCAATCTCTCCACCCTCAGCCTCCCAGGGGCAAACCGAGGCCAGTTTCTCACTGCTCTCGCCACTCTTCTTGGTGCCGATTATACCACTCTCAGTATCTCCACCCTCAGCCTCCCAGGGGCAAACCGAGGCCAGTTTCTCACTGCTCTTGTCGCTCTCCTTGGTGCTGATTCTACCACCCCCAATCTCTCCACCCTCAGCCTCCCAGGGGCAAACCGAGGCCAGTTTCTCACTGCTCTTGTCGCTCTCCTTGGTGCTGATTCTACCACCCCCAATCTCTCCACCCTCAGCCTCCCAGGGGCAAACCGATGCCAGTTTTTCACTGCTCTCGCCATTCCTCTTGGTGCTGATTCTACCCCCCTCAGTCTCTCCACCCTCAGCCTCCCAGGGGCAAACCGAGGCCAGTTTCTCACTGCTCTCGCCACTCTCCTTTGTGCTGATTTTATCACCCTCAGTCTCTCCACCCTCAGCCTCCCAGGGGCAAACCGAGGCCAGTTTCTCACTGTTCTCGCCACTCTTCTTGGTGCTGATTCTACCACTCTCAGTATCTCCACCCTCAGCCTCCCAGGGGCAAACCGAGGCCAGTTTCTCACTGCTCTCGCCACTCTCCTTTGTGCTGATTTTACCACCCTCAGTCTCTCCACCCTCAGCCTCCCAGGGGAAAACCGAGGCCAGTTTCTCACTGTTCTCGCCACTCTTCTTGGTGCTGATTCTACCACTCTCAGTATCTCCACCCTCAGCCTCCCAGGGGCAAACCGAGGCCAGTTTCTCACTGCTCTCGCCACTCTTCTTGGTGCTGATTCTACCACTCTCAGTATCTCCACCCTCAGCCTCCCAGGGGCAAATCGAGGCTAGTTTCTCACTGCTCTCGCCACTCTCCTTTGTGCTGATTTTACCACCCTCAGTCTCTCCACCCTCAGCCTCCCAGGGGCAAACCGAGGCCAGTTTCTCACTGCTCTTGCCACTCTCCTTTGTGCTGATTTTACCCCCCTCAGTATCTCCACCCTCAGCCTCCCAGGGGCAAACCGAGGCTAGTTTCTCACTGCTCTCGCCACTCTCCTTTGTGCTGATTTTACCACCCTCATTCTCTCCACCCTCAGCCTCCCAGGGGCAAACCGAGGCCAGTTTCTCACTGCTCTTGCCACTCTCCTTTGTGCTGATTTTACCCCCCTCAGTATCTCCACCCTCAGCCTCCCAGGGGCAAACCGAGGCCAGTTTCTTACTGCTCTCGCCACTCTCCTTTGTGCTGATTTTACCACCCTCAGTCTCTCGACCCTCAGCCTCCCAGGGGCAAACCGAGGCCAGTTTCTCACTGCTCTCACTACTCTTCTTGGTGCTGATTGTACCACTCTCAGTATCTCCACCCTCAGCCTCCCAATGGCAAACCGAGGCCAGTTTCTCACTGCTCTCGCCACTCTTGGTGCTGATTATACCACCCTTAGTCTCTCGACCCTCAGCCTCCCAGGGGCAAACCGAGGCCAGTTTCTCACTGCTCTCGCCACTCTTCTTGGTGCTGATTCTACCCCCCTCAGTCTCTCCACCCTCAGCCTCCCAGGGGCAAACCGAGGCCAGTTTCTCACTGCTCTCGCCACTCTTCTTGGTGCTGATTCTACCACTCTCGGTATCTCCACCCTCAGCCTCCCAGGGGCAAACCGAGGCTAGTTTCTCACTGCTCTCGCAACTCTCCTTTGTGCTGATTTTACCACCCTCAGTATCTCCACCCTCAGCCTCCCAATGGCAAACCGAGGCCAGTTTCTCACTGCTCTCGCCACTCTTCTTTGTGCTGATTCTACCCCCCTCAATCTCTCCACCCTCATTCTCCCAGGGGCAAACCGAGGCCAGTTTCTCACTGCTCTTGTCGCTCTCCTTGGCGCTGATTCTACCACTCTCAGTCTCTCCACCCTCAGTCTCCCAGGGGCAAACCGAGGCCAATTTCTCACTGCTCTCGCCACTCTTCTTTGTGCTGATTCTACCCCCCTCAATCTCTCCACCCTCATTCTCCCAGGGGCAAACCGAGGCCAGTTTCTCACTGCTCTTGTCGCTCTCCTTGGTGCTGATTCTACCACCCTCAATCTCTCCACCCTCAGCCTCCCAGGGGCAAACCGAGGCCAGTTTCTCACTGCTCTTGTCGCTCTCCTTGGCGCTGATTCTACCACTCTCAGTCTCTCCACCCTCAGCCTCCCAGGGGCAAACCGAGGCTAGTTTCTCACTGCTCTCGCAACTCTCCTTTGTGCTGATTTTACCACCCTCAGTATCTCCACCCTCAGCCTCCCAATGGCAAACCGAGGCCAGTTTCTCACTGCTCTCGCCACTCTTCTTTGTGCTGATTCTACCCCCCTCAATCTCTCCACCCTCAGTCTCCCAGGGGCAAACCGAGGCCAGTTTCTCACTGCTCTTGCCACTGCGCTTGCTGCTGATTGTTTTGCTAGATACATTCCCACTCTCAGTCTCCCAGGGGCAAACTGCACCTCGGTTCTCACTGGTCTTGCCACTGTCCTTAAGGGTGATTCTACCACCCTTCATCTTTCCACCATCAGCCTCCCAACGGCAAACTGAGGCCAGTTTCTCATTGTTCTTTCCACTGCCCTTCATGCTAGCTGTCATGCAATCCTGATCTGTGGTATCCTCCCAGGGGCAAACGTTTGGCGGATTTCTGCTCATGATGCTACCCTGCTTAGTGGCTACTTTATTGCTGGCAGACTTCCCACTCACACTTTCCCAGGGACAAACGTTGGACAGTTTTTCTAGGTCCTCGGTGCCAATTTTCCCGCTCAAAGTGTCTCCATCGCCCGTCTCCCAAGGGCAAACATAGGAATGTGACTGCGCAAAGAGACCCTCTCTTTGGTGACTTTTCGACTGCTGGAAGACTCAGTGGCTACGGTGTCCCACGGGAAAACTTCAGGCTACGTGGCTCGCTGGCTGCAGGCCACTCCCAGGCAAATCTCCACTCTTTTTGTTGCTGTCCTTGGAGCTGACTGTGCCACCACCCTGAACGCTGGTGGCCTCCCAAGGGCACACCTTGGCCGCCTTTCTACTGGCCTTATCATCGCCTCCGCTTCCGGTTGCACCCTCGGCCTCCTCGTGGCCTCTCACAGCGGCGCTCCCCGTGGCCACTGCCGTGCACGCTCCCTCATCTTGCCACTTGGCAGACCCCATTCTGCCCCCCGCTCCCAGCTCTGCTCCACCTTCGGCTGTCGAGCCCTCATCCATTGGTGGCAGAAGCGGGGCCACGGGTGGTGCCGAAAGTTTGACGATCTCCGCGTGTAGAGAAGAACTGCGAACGGGGATGGCAGGCGGCCGGGACAGCGGCTTTTTATGCGCCATAATGAGGCAGGGGAGGTTTGGTAAGGCCTGAAGGGGTTCCCCGGTGGCGACAACGTGCCCAGGCCCCCCCTCGTCGGTCGCAGGGGGTCCGATCTCAGTGCTGTCCGTCTGGAAGAAGCTGTGCTGCTTGACGAGCCGAGCTGGCCCACCCTGCCTGCAGAAACATGCACGTGCCTGAATAGTGTGATTGGCTCACAAGTGACGACATAAAATTTAACCCCTCTATTTAAGATCAAAACAGGAGAATTTCTCCACAAGTCTTGCTGTCGCCTAATGAGGCTGGTTGTAATTACCAGCGAAACGTCATACTCGAAATCTAAATGTTGTAGATTTACTCTCCAACACACCGGTGTGCTGAACTAGTAATGATTTGGCATGTTTAATTTACGTGCCAAACCATACTAATTGTCGGGTGGTGGTGGGTTTAATGACACATTTATATTTACACGATCTAACCAAAAACAACTCTATTATAGATTTAGTTCACGTATCTGTTAAAGTTCTTAAAGCACTCCGTGATAAGTCATCATGAAGAGTGAATGCGCGTGAACCGTGCGTTAGGCTTCAGTAGCACAAGGAGCCACCGCAGGACTGCTTGGCTGAAATGTGCTTCATTAGCTACCAACTTATCCAGCCGATCGTGTTTAATTAAAACACAAGGCGAGGCCCAATTTGCTCCTTTACACATTTTGGGACATTGACCGAATACGGCCCATGACGAGGCAATTGCCCGGGTGGAATGGGGCTTAAAAGAAGGTGGCAGTGCGACACCATGGACCAATTAGTAGTGGGTGCATTTACGCACAAAGCCAGGCCGACAATCTAGCTTTCGTGGTGGGATGGCCTCGTCAGCTGTTACCGTAATGAACAAATAACTGGCGAGAGAGTTGTAAAAACATAGTCTGCTCTGTATAGGCCTTCAAAGTCGGAGCAATGTCTAATAGATGGAAATCCCGTTGTCCATGTGTAATAAAAGACTCGGACGCTTCTCTCTGTCCTGTGTCCTTTATTTGGGTTCGATCTCTTTTCCCTCACGGCACTCCTCCTGAGACTCTCTGCTTGGCAGCTCCACAGCTGCCTTCGCTCCCGTAGCCTTCCGTGCTCCTGCAGCTCCGCTGCAGGCTCTTGGTGCAGCCCTCCGGCTGCTCTCACAGCAGCTCCACCGCTGCTCCCCGTTCCTCCGTGCTCGGTCACCGCTGGCTGGCGGTGCCGAGTCTTACCGTGTGTGGCGATCTCGCCACTCCCCAATCTCAGCCCTGCGTGGCCTCTGTGGCGATCTCGCCATCTCCAACCTCAGCCCTGCGTGGCCTCTGTGGCGATCTCGCCACTCTCTGTCTCTATCCCCCAACTCTCTCTTCCACCCCGCTGGCTGGCGCCGTCATGAGCCCCTCAGCCACCAGGCTGAGGCACGGCGACCACCCAACGTGTTCACCACCCTTCACTCCCCCGACTGACCCAGATGGCTTCCTGTCTCCCCGCTATAACTTCTCCCCCACGTGACCCTGACTCCTCCCTCTCGGATTGTCATATCCGCCCCGCCCATTTACGCCCGCATTACACATGGATCAATGGGTCCCACCATAGGACAAAACGTGTGATAATACAATCTGCGGTTATAACCTTCGGTTTAAAGAAGGCATGGTGGAAAAGGACCACTTTATGGGTTGAAAAGCTGGAAGGGTTCATGACACCATAAAGCATACAGCGCATAAATATGCACTGCAGATGTGAGAGCTACAAGCAGAATAAGTTTCAATGTAAGGAAGGCAATAGCGATGGTATTGAACAGCTCAAAGAGGGAATCACGCAAGGCATGCAGCACCAATAAGATATCCCAGGGACAGCACCACCGATATGCCAGTAGATGTTGATAAAAAAGAGGTCTCAACTGAACCTCCGAATCGATGACTGAGCAGTCAGAATTGCGGTGTCAAAACCACAATGGAAGACGGTGATGGTGGCGAGACAGACTCTTGTGAAGAATGCAGTATGTCCCACCTGGAAATCCACAGCGGGTAGTTTAGCACAGCAGCCGGCGGTGCCTGTCATGGTGGAATCTGGCAACGCTGGCAAAACCTCACAAAAGCCCTCCATAGACATGCTACGTGGAGGAACGACTAGCTATGAAGAGCACAGCTTACGCTGGGAGCGTGAGACTAACTCTCCAGACTGTGGGCTTGATAAGACCCAGCTCGGATGGCAGCAAGACAACTCTGTCCAGCAAGTCACTGCGCTGTGGAAACGGCAGCGGAACTTGGAGCACAGACAGAGACGGTGACACAAGACTTCCTGCGGAATGCGCTGCAGAACAAGCCTCACTGCTCACAGCTCTCTCCAAGCGCTGGAGTTTTCTGCCTCAGACGTTGACCAAATGCCTGTACCGTATGGCTGCCACATATCCGTGAGCGGCGGCGTCGGAATAAACAAAGAACTCCGGCTCTACTTAGCCCAGGGGACACCCCCATCATAGAATGTACCGTCGCTTCCCACCACAGTAGCTGGAGCTTTGTGTCGAGAGTGAGAGAGGTTTGATGACCCAGCCGTAGTCAACCAACACTGCTCACGTGCGACGAGTGGCCACAGAGCAGCCATCGGACGTCTCTGCCACCAGCAGCAGATCGACCAGGTAGGCAAAAGAGCAACCGTGTTCACGAACATCTTGGTGAAGACCTGAGGCAAGGACATGAGTCAAAATTAAATAACATTTTGAACCGGAAGTAATCATCCTCAAAAGCGAAGTCTAGGAAACACCAATGTCAATTGTAGACTGGAACATGTCGGCAGGCATATTTTAGGTCAATCGAAGACGACCAATCTCATGGTTGGATCGCCGTCACCATCGACTGAACAAATTCCATCTTAAAATGTTATGTGACGATCTACTTGTTCAACGCCTTCATATTGAGAATGGGCCGGAAACCCACCATCTTTCTCGGGTACCACGAAGAGACGGCCGTAGAATCTGCATTGTCGCTGAAGTAGGCGGTGCCATGATGATGGAATGGATGTCAAGGAGGCGTCGAAGCTCGTCGACAAAAAGAGTTGACTGTAGAAACAGTGACAAACTCGACAGCGTTGTTTGCCGGTGGAAGCCGATGAAAACGTATGGCGCAGCCGTGGCGAAGAACTTGAAGGTAACTATGCATCGGCCCTCGATTAGGTACCACATTTACCAAAAGGAGGTCAGCCAGGTGCCCACAGGGCGACCCAGCGTGGGCGGCTCAGGCTCGGCATCACTTCGACTACCCTGCAGAATTGGGTGGAAATGAAGCTGTGAGGGGAGGAGCCGTTGCGCCTGTCCCAGCAGACTGGGGTCGTTGTCCATCACCCTTGTTGTTCTGTACCTTGGATCACCCCTGATGGGAAGGACCCACTTGCAGATGACATTTTCCACAACCACTTCAGGCAGCTGTTTGATGGACTTGCACGAGGCGCAGCCGGCGCCATGCCACTAGGTGTGAATTTTCCAGGTCTTGATCAATGAACTTGATCACGTAGCGTGCTTCTGAACCGAAGAGTTCCATTCTTCCATGGGTTGAATGGCAATTGTCGCACGTGTGGCTAAGGGGACCCATCGCTTGTTGCCATTGCCACAAGGAGTCGACGACCCCACAGCGCTCACCGTAATTCCTCGCACAGACTGCCGCTGAATGCAGACTAAACTGGGCATGGTCGAAGCAGCTGAACAGTTGGAGTCCCCTCCCTGGCAAGACCTGCAGTGCATGGAGCTACGACCGATGGAGGGGTGTTGCTGAGGTAAAGACCAAGGCAGTCAACGCCCCAAAGTCCATCCCATGGAAATGCCTTTAAATGTGTAGTGCCATAGGACGTCACTACTGTGTCGGCCGGTACGAGGGCTGGGGGCCCCAATGGGGTGGCTGGGGGGTCATGTGGTGGAGAACCGAGACCTTCCCAGAGGTGGGGAAAGGGAGGCGTGGCCTGGGAAGAGCCAGCCATGCCGGAGCGGTTATAAGTGGGGTGTGAACGCAGAGCGGGGCTGTTCAACCCCGAAGTAAAGACGACATCATCGGTCCTCAAGTCCCGGATCGTCTTCCGTGACCAGACAGCCCGTTGCCTGCCTGGGTCACGCTGTGTAGTCTTCCAGGGTGTTAGTGAGTTGAGGAAGGTGTTATAGTACTTACTGTTCTAATAAACAGTGTTGCCTCCAAGCTGTGTGTGTGCACCTAATTCAAACCTACTACAAATGCACTCCACAAGACAGCACAGTATTCAGGGAAAGCACCCAGCTGTGGCACTGACTGCAGTGCAGCGATCCTTTGACAAAATAATTAATTACAAATATTATGGCGGCAAAGCCCACCAACAGTGACAAAATCGCAAATTATTGCCAAACAAGCGGATTCTCACTGAATTTAAAGATGTGTACTGAAGATCCTGGCAAACCGCAGGTGAAATTATTTTTATCGGAAGAATGTGATGATGACGTGGATGATTGACGCCCATCTCATCATTAAAATTCATTATTTATTGTATGGGGGAGGACTGTGACATTCCATCGAGAATAGAGATAATTTTGTTTTTAACCATCACTCAAAAAAAATGTATTCCAACCTATCCAAGCCCAAATCCTAACCTTGACAACATTAGTAATAATCATACGAACCATCTAAGCCCGAACCATGATCTTGATCAGTCACGATCAATCAATAGTAACAAAGCATGTGGCCACGCATCGTCATTACAGAACCTGACCCACGACTCACCTGTGAACTCCAGGTCTGCGTGGCCCCGCGACCTCCAGGAGCCTGTTTCCCTGATCCCCTTGTGGCCCCTGGGGCCCAGTATCCTCGTGCTTGGACAAATCCTGTAGTGGAGAGGCCACTTCCTGCCCCTCGCCACCGAGCGCCAGAGGCTGCTGATCTTTGACAATGAGGCTGCCCACAATGGCTCCCTCTTTCAATGCTGGATCGTCCTCTTTGACATCCCCTGCAGCAGCTGAATTACCCTCCATCGCCTCCTCTGTGGACACCAGGTTGTTATCAATCGTCTCTCCTTTCATCTCCAGACTGCCCTCCGTGGCCTCCTCTTTCACCCCCAAGCTGCCCTTTCCACCACCCTCCCTTGGCTGTCCTGCCACTCGCAAGCCGCCGCCCAGCACCTCGCCGCCGTGGGTGGTCGTGGCTTGCGCTAGCGGTGGCCTGCTCTGATGCTGCCCTCTCCGTGAGGAGAGCTCCTCGTGGAGGCGGCACAGCTCCTGCTTGGCGCGCTCCATGTCGTGCCGCGCCCGACTGCGGCCCATGGCCGCCATCCCGGCTTGTGAGCCCGGGCTCTTCTTACGAGTGTGCCCCTCCTCCCGACCCCGTGCCCTCTCGGTCTTTCCCTTGGCGTCCGCCCTCGCCTCAGACTTTCCGGCCGCCTTCCCGTCCGTCCACTCCACTGGGTTCCTTGATCGCCTCTCTGCCCTCTTCTGCTTCGCCTCGCCCTCTGGGGGGTCCCGCAGGGGCCTGCCGGACCCAGTGGGCTGCTCCCGGCCTCGTGAGCGACCTTGCGGGGTGTTGCACGTTTCTGTTGCAGCGGCCCCAACACCGTCGGGAATGACCCCAGGAGACTCTTTGCTGGGTCCTGCTGGGATGACCTCAGCCTGGTATTTAGCCTCCTCTGGCATGGGGTCAGAAATCCCAGCCCGTTCATCTCCAAAAGCTGCCTGATCCTCCCTAACACCGGACTGATCCTGAGTAATATCCTGATTAATTCCAACCTGATTCTCCTGAACAGCAGCATGATCTTCACTCTTCCCCACCTGCTCTTTTTGAACGCGAGTCTCATCCTCCTCGTCTTTTGCCAGCTCCTCTATAGTGCCTGGCCTTACCTCTTCAGCACGCGCCACATTCTTGGCAACATTTGCCTTCTCTTTAATATCACTCACAGCGTCTTTAACATCATCCAGGCTCCTGCTTATCTTTTCACTGCTCGAGTCCACTCCGATTCCCTTGACCTTTACCTCATCGGGGCTCTTCTTCTGCTTCGTATTTTCCTCAGTGTCTTCCTCCCTTGCAGGGCCAGTCTCCTCATCCACAATTGTCCTCACCTCATCCCCCATCTCTTTGTCACAGCTCACCATGACTCGAAAGTCGTTTGCCTCCTCCTCTCCACCCCTTCCCACTTCATCTTTACCTCTCGCCTCAGCTGCTCCAGACTGCAGTCTCCCCACTCCACCATCCATCTCCTCTTTCAGCTCCACATCTTTCATTTCAACATCATTCACCTCCCCCTTCAGTTCCAACTTCTGCAGCTCCACCTCTTCCACATTTTTCTTTAGCTTCAGATCTCTCTCCCTGTCCTTCAGCTCCACCACTTTCAACTCCATCTCCCTGCTCAATTCCATCTCCTTCATCTCAATTGTCCTCCTGATCTTCTCCTCCATCTCATTTCGCGGCTGCAGCTCAATCTCTTTCTTCAACTGCATCTCCCTCTCGGTCACCCTCTCTTCCAGCTCCACTTTCCTAGTCAGCTCCCCTTGCATCTTCTTTCTCTTCAGCTCCACCTCGATCTCCAACTTTTCGTTCACCTCTATCTCCCACTCCCTCATCATCGCCACCTCGTCCTTCAATTCCCTCTCCTGCAACTCTATCCCCATCGACCGGTCTGCCCCACCGGGTTTCCATTTCCCTACAGATCTCCCAGCGCCCGGCACCACCTCCGTCTCCGTCCCCCCTCCCGGGGGCCCCGGGCGCCCTACCACCGCCGCCTCTTGCGCCTGTACCATCGTCCCCGTGGCCACCCTGGCCAGTGCCCCTGCCTGGCGGGGGCCCACCAGGCTCAGCGACTTGAGGAGAGGCAGTGGGGGGGTGCGTGACGTCAAGGGGGGCCTGGCGGGGGCCATGGGTCCCGCGGAGCCACGGAGCGCGTGCGCGCTGGCTGAGCGGCACAGCACGGGGGGGGAGTCCGGTGGCTCGGCCTCCCCACTGCTGCTGCTGCCCGGTTGTTGCTGCTGCTGCTGTTTTTGAGGCAATGCCTCGGGGCCGGGGGGCAGCGCCTTGGGGCCCAGGGGCAGCGCCTCGAGGCCTGGGGGCAGCGCCTCGGGGCCCGGGAGCCCCCCCTCGAGGCCCCGCTCCCCGCCCAGTGAGCTCACGCTGTTCTCGGAGTTCTCCAGCAGCTGGTCGTAGGCGCTCGTGGAGCGCGCCAGGGACAGCACCTCAGAATTAAAATCAGAAAATGTATTTATACTGGAGGAGGAATATGATGAGCTATGAAGCGGGTCAGAACGTTACAACAACAAAAAACACAATTGGCATGCAAAATATAGGAAATGGAAACAAATCACTTAAAAAAATTATAAAACTTTTATTATTTTAATCCTACCAGGTAAAGTATTCTGAGCTATTTGCTTCTTTTTCAGAAGCAACCTGGCCACAAATGATAGCTCAATGAAGTGGCATATCATGTGGACATGATTAGCACCAAATAATCTAAATAATCTATGCTGTGAAAGAAGTTTAACATATGTACATATGCACGTTTCTAAATGTGAAGGACACGGAGAAAAAAATCCACGCGACCACGGGGAGAACATGCAAACTCCAAACATACAAGCACCAGGGTCGAGATCAAACCCCCCCAGACCTCCTGCATACCAGGCGAGGAAGTGAACATCAGACCATCTTTTCGCCCGTTAAGTAAATAAATAAAGCATACGAGTACCTTCTGGCGGAACGTGGCCTCCCGCACGCGGCTCCACGCGGCTCCCACCTCGGGCCCCCCCCCGGCCTGCCGCCCCCCACCCGGCCCCCCGGGCCCCTCTCGGGGGCCCTCGGGGCCGCAGTCGGCAAAGCGGCGCATGAAGGAGCGTGCAAGCCCCCGGCGCGAGGGGGGGCGCCGCCTCGGGAGGTGCGGGTTGCCCAGGCTCATCCGCTCGCAGCGGTAGAGCTCCAGCTGCGTGTAGAGGCGCTTGAGCTCACTCTGCGGGGAGGAGAGCAGGGGGAGCGGGGAGAGTGGGGGAGAAGAGAGAGAGAGAAGAGAGGGGAGAGATGGAGGAGGGGAGAGAGAAGTGAAAGTGGATGAAGGCATAGGGTGAGATGTATATAACTTTAAACTCTGTGGCAATGGCCAGAGATGATATCAGTAAAAGCTCACTGCTGAGATTCATTCCTTCTTCGACAACACGAACAACCCACAGCCTCAACACCGACTCATGGCCTCAGCCTCCTCGGCCACCCCTCGCACCCCCGCCCCGCCCGCTTTCCTGAGGGCGCCGCTCACCGTGAGCTCCTCGGCGTCCAGGTGGTCCCACCAGCCGAGCGAGGCAACGCTGCCGTTGAGGCAGGACGAGGTGGAGCGCCCCAGGCCGTCCAGCTGGTCCTCGTACACCTCCCCGTCGCCCGCTTCGTTGCACCGCGGTCCCTCGACCCTGCACAGCTTTTACGAGGGCCGCGAGACGCACTGCAGATCAACTCTCAACCACCATCGCTGCTGCACCGCTGCCGCGCACACGAGTTGCAATGCTGAAATATTATTCCGCTTGTTTAGCCAGTACTTGCCCCGAAAGTCTGTTAATGCCATACGGGGCATTGTTGTCTGAGTGTGTGTGAGCACCTTGGGCAACAGCAGCAGGGCCAGCGTGACGGTGACTGTGAGCTGCGAGTGGACGAAGAACATGATGAACGTCCAGTCGGGGTGCAGCGAGGCCGACAGCCAGAACCTGGTCACACACACAACGCACCAACACAGAGACCTTAACAGACGTTTGAGGTGAGCGCTGTTTGCGAGTAGCACCTATTAAAGGCTGGCACAGCACACAAGTGGCTGGGTGGTCATCACCATGCCCTGCCACCTTGTCTCCCTAGTGGCGATGTTTGCACACCACACCCAGTACTCATTTGAGGCGAAGCACATACTCTCGTGAGGACGATATTGAATCCACGGCACAGCGGGCAAGGGCCCGAGGCCGGAGCACCATCCCCGGTGTGCTACATCTCAATCCCTCTGGCACCTCTCCCGCCTCTTGCTCGACGTTTCTCATTTGCGAGTGAAACCTGTCTCGGCGTCTCTATCCACGTTTCCTCTCCTACTATCCCACGCCGGGTTGAACGTTTCCCTGTCGGGGGTTTTCCGAAAATCTCCGCTCATTAAATATCTCTCAACTGCTGCGGTGATATTCTTTAGTTATGACTTGGCCTGAAATTATTTCATTAGATTTTTCATTGTTTTGTTGCTGCTGGAGGCAGAACGAGGCGAGAGACAGCGACCCTCCACCGATTTATGGATCCGCTTCGTTGATCGCCACGGGGACAGTGCGAGCGGCCAAACTCAGCGACGATGCTCGTGCCGGTGGCGTCAAGAACAAATGGAGAATCACACGACAAGCTTTGCTCATGTGCAGCACTGCCACCGTCTCATCGCTCTGCGGACACGAGGTGAGCAGGCGAGAGAGGCGAAAATACTGGCGGAGGAACAGCTGGAATGATCACCACCATCGGTTGTAACGAGGTGTGAGGCTGGGTGATATTGCTTTTGTCGTCGACGGTGATCTGTGTGTGTGTCGGCTTTCATAGATGCTAAGAGGACTTGACCCAAAAGTTTTTTTCCGGCTATACGGGGGAACTTTGTCTCCATGTTGAAAGACCTTCATGTTAATGACATAATTATCAAGGACCTTGGTGATGGTGGGCAGGCTGCGTGGCTCGGAGTCGCAGCCATTCCCTGTCTCCTTCGGGCTGGGAAAAGGATGTCCTCTGGCCCCTACATTACATAGCATATTTATTTTACCAGATAGTTCGAAAAGCTTTCCATGGCTGTACCAAAGGGATTTCCATCTGGTACAAATACAATGGGAGGCTGATAGATGCTCAGGTGTGGTCAAAGGTTGGCTCCTCACTGGTCAACCAAATTATGTATGCTGATAATCAGGTAATTGCTGCTCACTCTGAGAAGGAGTTGGAGGCTGGGAATTTACCGTCAGCCCCACCAAAACTAAGGACCGACCTGGTTATTTTATGTCATCAAAGGCCCCTTCCCTCAACTTCCCGTGAATGACGAGGAAATTTTGGAGAGAGTCGAGAAATGTTCGTACTTATTGCAGTGTGCTTAGGACCAGCTCCGGTTTGGCAGCCAAATCAGTGTAGCAGCATTATCTTTTCATCAGATACATAATGCTGTGTGGAAGCTACCTGGCCTGTTGCTCCATACAAAGCTTCAGGTTTTGTTGGCCACAGTTATGCCCTCCCTTCTCTATGTTTTGAAACGTGGAGCCCTCTAAACATTCAGGCTGGCATGCCTATAATATCCATCCTGGGTTTAACCAGACTGGATTATGTCAGGAGCTCCCAGATCCTTGAAAGTTGTGGACACAGTCCCGTCAATGAGCTCCTCTGGCAGGCGAAGCTGCGTTGGGTGGGTTATGTAGCCCACATAATCAGCCACCGCATGGCCGGATAGAGGAGGCAAACCGGGTGTGGCACATGCAAGAAAAAAGATGGACTGATGTCGTACAAGAAGGATTTGGAGCTGATTGAACTTGTCAATGACAGGTACCAGGATTGTCAAGACCGGCCTCTGTCCAGGAGGTTTGTGAAGGACGCTGCTGGGGAATTGTAGGTATTCACCCTCCAGCAACAATGGAGGAGCGACACTCACAACAATTACGACAGTGCCTGGCGTATAAAACGCATAAAGTTGGCACAGTGGGGAGCACATTTGGTGCATTCTACAGTCATTTTAGTCAGTCAACCTATGGCACCTGGGTCTGTTCCATGACCTCCTGCGAGCGAGGAGTCGATACTTTACGTTGCCTCAAAGTAATGCACCTGGCATGGCACAAGTGCTGTGGTGACGTCACCATCACTTAGTGGTGAACGGCGGTTGTTGATGCTGTCGTGTGTGAGGTCGACTCAGCCTCAAAGGAGCACCTGATGTGATGTGTAAACATCGTCACTAGGCAGACAAAGGAGGCCGGGCGTGTTGCTGGCCACCCACATCCTCATGTGCCGGGCTACTTGATAACAGCACTTGCCCAAAGTGCAGTGAAGGCTATACCGGGGATCTTTGTCATTTGAGTGAGTGTGAGTAAGTATGAGTGAGTGGAATGTGTAGATGTAGTGCGGTGAGGTGTGGGGTTGCATGCGCACCGCGTCACGTGGAAGGCGAGCGACACGAGCGCCTCGTTGCACAGCGCCAGCGCCAGGAAGCTCGGCTCGTGGAACGCAGAGGGGACGCGGCGCGCTGCGCGGCACAGGTGCAGGCTCCACACGGTCAGCAGCAGCTCGGCTAGTGTACACGTGCACACGCACGCACGCACGCGTGCACACACACACGCACACACACGCATATGCATACACATGCAAACACACACGAGCACACATACACATGCACACACACACAAATATAAATATTCCCCGTGTAGCCTTGAACAGGCTGTTGCGGGAAGTATTCTTCGCGAGTAACACCTATGAAGGCCGGCATAGCACCTATGAAGGCTGGCATGGCATAGCACCTATGAGGGAATGGTCTTGGCTAATACCACGGTTTCCGATATTCGTCACCAACGTTGGCTCCGAGTGAGAATTGAACTCGAGCCGCGGGTTCCGAGCACAAGTGCGCATTTAAAGATCACTGGTGCACGTGTCCAGTGAATGTAGAACGCCCAAAGTGGGGCCAACATTCACTGGGTGCATCTGCCATCCTTGAGCACCACACAGCTATCCACACATTAACTGGGACACCAGTGATCTTTGTGACATCACTGCTGTTATTGATTAACTTGTGCCCATCTGAACAAGCACAAAGAGACTGGATGAAAGTGGAGAGTAACTCGCTGTCACTAGAGGCGACCGCTGCGAAGCAGACGCGGAAGAGGCTGGAGCGTCTTTGGAAGGAAACTGGTTGCGAGACTGTCTTACTTACTTACAGAGCCGCCTGCAGATCTGACCACCGACTCATTATTAAGGTTCGCAGATCGTTCTATGCTCTGTGCGTCAGTACTTGCGACATTCTTTGCCAATAGATCAAAACAGCAGTTTCTAACTTGAAGGCAACACATTCTCCCGGTCTGCCATCTGAACTTGATAAACCTGGAATCAATGCAAAACTCGAATCAGACGTCGGTGGCAGAGGTGTTGATAATCATCAAACGGCTGCCAAATAAGACATCGCTGCTCGTATACATCCACACGCCAAATCTCAAATCATGCTCGGAAGTGCTCGGGCTGTTGATTTTTCACCTGGCAAATCTTTCGTGAAGTGAGGGGGCTGTTTCCCAGACTGGTTCAAAATGGCGTAGGTAACACCGCTCCTGAAAAAGGTTGGCTTGAGCTACAGTGACCCCAAAAACTATAGGTCGATCTCAAACCTGAGTATGATTTCAAAGGTCATAGACCGCCTTTGTCTGAAGCAGTTATGTCCCTGTGTCACTGCGATGGGCAGATTCAACCCGTTGCAGTTGGCATATCAGAAGTTCCACAGCACTGAGACGGCTCTACTAAAAATCACTGATGACCTCTACAAGATCATGGATGACCGGTGGCCTGCAATGTTTGTTGGCCTCGATCTCTCAAGGTGCCTTCAACGTCATTGACCACGATATACTCATCAGGCGGAGAAGGTCAAGATTCGGTGTCTCGGACACAGCACTGGGGTGGATTGAGTCATGGTCGATCAGTTCGTCAAGCTGGGTAATGAACACTCATCGCCTATGCCATGCCCAGTTGACGAACCATAGGGGTCCATCCTTGGGCCCGTCCGATTTTCAATGTACGTCCATCCGATCGTTTATGTCATCTCACCGCCTGACATCAAGTTCAATCAATATGCTGTGAGTGGTACATGTGTGGTTTGCACAAAAGGAAATGCGGCTTAATCCAGGAAAATAAGAAGATCTGCTGGTTGGTACTCAGGCTCAGGTGAAAACATTTGTGGGAGAATCAGGTGTGGCAGTCGCAGACTCCAGGATACATTTTGCTACGCGGATCTAAAGAGCCTCGGCACCATACTCGACCAGAACATGTCGTTTGATCACCACGTGCAAAACCGAGCTAGGTCCTGAAATTTAAATATCAGGGCTCTACGACACATTCGACCATTATTGAGTTGTGACATAGCCAAAATGGTGGCATGTAGCATAGTATCGACAAGTTTCGATTATTGCAATTCACTACTCTACAGGAAGTCTGGCAAAAAAAACATTACCAAGTTTCAGCGTGTACAATATTTTTTGACACGTGTTGTTACGGGTACTGCAAGATACAGCCATGTACAACCAGTGCTCGCTGAGCTGTTTCTGGTTGCCGAACGAATACGTTATAATGTCACACTCATTACACACAAAGTGCTTGCCATAAAAGATCCACAATACCTTGCTGATCTCGTCAAGGGGCATAAACCATCATGCAAACTCTGGCCATCCTCACAGTGGCATTTAGCTAACCATCGAGCAAAGACGGTCACTGCATTGCGCACTTTCAGAAGCCCTTCTGTGGCCATTTGGAATGCTCTTCCTTCCAACATTTGGAAGCCAATGGAGCTATTCACTATTAAGTCTAAATTGAACATTCATTTCTTTAGAACTGCTTTTTCTGTTTAGTTTGATTTCCTTCCTCCACACCTCCGATTAGCACGGTTGGCTACATACGGTGCGAAATAAGTTAAATGTACATATTTGCGTACATACACAAAATGAGCTGCCCAGAGGAGTGAACGTAACCTCCTGTGAGCGACCACACGTAAGGAACCTGCAAAGCAAACCACGTGGTGATGCTGCTGCTGCGTTGGCAGTGATGCACAAGCACAGCCAACAACAACAACTCAACACAAAATAGGCGACGTTTCAGACAATGGCCCTACTTCATAGCACACGAGGCACCAGAGAGACAGCACGAGCCCCGTCGGGTGCCTTACACGCCGACTGGCACCTCCGATGTGCGCGCGTCCACCCGTTCCTCACCGAGGCCCAGCATGAGGTCCCAGCCATCCAGGAGGCACGTGAGGAAGGGGCCCCCGTTGGCCGTGTGTCCACGGCCGACAAGAGGCAGCTCGCGCGCCAGGTTCTCCCACGCGGCCAGCGTCCACGCGGCCAGGAACCACGCGGGCGGCAGCAGCAGCGCGGCGAGACGGCGCGCCACGCTGGCCCACGGGCACCCGGGTCGCGGGCGCTCTGACACGCGCTCCACAAACACCTCCAGCAGCCTGGCTCGTGGGGCGGGGCAAATGGGGCAAATGGGGGGGGGGGGGGCGGCAGGGCCCGTGGGGGATACGCGGAGGAACAAACGTGGGGTGAGGGGGGGCACAGGGGATACATAGGGGTGCACACGGAAGGACACAGAGGACAAATAAGGGACGCACGGGGGGTACACAGGGGGCACACGGCGGACACATAGGGACACACGGGGGGCACACGCGGGACACATGGGGGGGGGGACTCGGGCAGACACGGTGGGCACACGGAGGTCTGAGTGCAGAGATGCGTGTGTCGGGCATGCAGAGCGTGTGATGCCCTAATCCAGCAGTGGGCTGACAGAGGGTGTACACGTGCATTGCGTCCGTACACGCGGCCGCGTGACTTGGTGCAACTCTCCCCGAGGAGCTTTACAGGCATGACCGCTGGGTCCTCAATGGCATGAGGGGAGGGAGGAAGAGTGGGCCAGGGGGAGTGGGTGGGGTGCCGGACCTGCACATCTTGAGCGCGATGGTGCCGTAGACAATGCAGAAGCCCAGCACTCGCACCCAGCGCAGCAGGATGCAGCGAAACGCGCTCGGCTCGAAGAACACAATGAACACCTGCGTGGGACCACACAGACAAAGGGCCCCCATGTAGCATTTAACAGACTGTTGGGTCAAATGCTGTTAGCGAGCGCCTATGAAGGCCGGCACGGCACAGGATGGGGTGATGTGGCCAACACCACATCTGAGTTGACTAAGGGGAAGGCCCAAAACAGGTTCGGATAATCGTCACTGGTGCAGGTCGTGAGCGAGATTGGAACTTGGGTCGCTGGGTTCATAGTGCAACGCGCTAACTGTTGCACTACTGCTCTCCACACACACACGCACACAAACGTGGCATGACCACCATGACCACGATCCACCGCTAATGGTGCTGATGTCACGGTTCGTGAAGTGCCGTGGTCGGCTTGGGCCCTGCTGCCAGGGGTGGAACGAGGCCCCCTGTCCAATTCCGCCCTCCCTCTTCGTAGCTCGGCTCCTGGGCCCCTGTGGTCTTGGCGCAGTTGCACCGCCTGCACACCACTAGGCAGCTACGCCACTTTTGATACTCCTACTGATACTCCTGCTGTTATGGAGTGACTCATGCTGCCAGCTATGGCAGCAAAGTTTGGTCGTAGATGTTATGTCAATCGTTTATTGTTAAATTTGAACCACAATTCCTATGATCACTGCTACATTTTTTATAGCTTTATTTTGGTGATTTCGAAAACGTTTTGGTGTAGCCATGTTTGTTTGTTGTAGTACAGAGTTAGACTGATAACTTTAATCTAAGTTGTCTTATGGTTGTTATTGTTTCACTTGGATCCCACTGGGATGTTTGCACAACATTGATATACGGTGCTTTTTCTGGAAGATTTTGCTGTTTTTTCCAGGATTTTTCTTTTGCGCGTAGTCACATTAAGATGTTTCTTGTTCATGTTTTTGTTTGTTGCGGTTGCACCCGATTCAAGTGCCGCATGGCTCACAGGGCTATACCAAATAAATGAAACTGAAATGTTATCTGGATGCCACCGTGGACAGAGAAACACTCAGAGGGACCGACCCAGGCACTGTGGGTCGAGAGGTTTATAAATATATATCCAGTAGTCCCTCGGTTACCATTTTTTATCTATTCCACAAAAACAATGGTAAACCGAAATAACTTAATGGAATTCACTCATAAGTTGAAACAATAAACAAAACCACTGAATCTGCAAGAGAGCTGTTGTTTTCACTGCCACAACAGAAAACGTAATGTCAACAAAGCCAAGTCGAGGTCTAAACGCCCATAAATGGGTGTCGCTGATTGGCCGAGGGTGTGGCTCAGCCCTACTTATGAGCGCTCTGATTGGTCGAAATTGGAAACCGTATGCATAACATAAACGTACCGTTCGTCAACATTTTTAAGTTAGTCAAAACCATGGGGTCCTATGGGAGGCGAAACGTTAACCGGAAAACCGTTCACCAATGTCACTGTTAACCAAGGGACTACTTTATAGACTAAAGAATTTTGCCTGCAAAATCCTGTGAGATGGAACATCTCATTCGCGAGGGAGTCCAGGGAGAAGTTCTACTAGCGACTGGGAGGTCATGGGTCGTACAGGGCTGGGAAAACCCCCACTGCTCACCAAATGACCATGACATGCACTTTAAAATGTTCACCTGACCCTGGCTGGGGATGCCAATTAGACGCTCGTTAAGGCATTTAGCCAGGACCCCGCAAGAATAGCGTCAGTGACGTGAAAGTGAAATGCCAACGGTGGAATTCACGCGCCCTGGATCACGGGTCTCCCGTGTAAAATATCCAGGCAAATGGCTCAATGGGATCGTCTGCGTGTAATAAAGGACTCTCTCTCAGATGTCGATCTCCGTTGTCCTTTATTGGGTTCGTAGAATCTCGATACCACGGCGTCTCGCTCAGGCCCGCGTCCCGCTCGACGACCTCTCCACAGCCTCGGCTGCTTCGATATGCAGTCTCCCTGCTACTCCGTTAGGCAATCCTTGCAGCCACACCGCTGCTCCGCTATCTAGCGTCACTGCTGCCCCGTACAGAGCTAGCCTCTCACAGCCCCGTTAGCTCTCTCCGTCTGACACCGATGGCTGACGGTGTCGACGTCTCCCACCACGTGGCGACCGCGCCACTCTCTCCGTCTTGCCCAACGTGGCCTCCTCATGTTTCACTCCGTCTCAACTCCCCCTTCCCCTTCCGGTTCTCTCCCTAAATCCTCTCACCCACGTGACCCTAACTCCACCCACTCCCCACGTGACCCAGACTCCGCCCCCCCTCAATCCTTGCTCGCATTACATGCGTAACAAATCAAATAAATCTTGATTTAAAGTTTTCGTGACTGCTGGAATCCATACTCTTTGGTTCTTTCGGTAAATTCACGTAGGTAGAAATAAAATAAAACAAATCACGACGTTTCGATCAAATAAACTCCTGAAACCGATTGCGTGCGCCTGCGACCGCATAACGCGGAGCGTGCATGGTCTCTGTCTCATCTCGGCAGCTAAGCAGGGGGTGAGCCTGGATAGCTGCTCAGATGGGCGACCACCACCGTGCATAACAGGTGCGATAGGCTGCTTCTGCTGCAGGGCTACGTGGTGGACAGCAGAATGCAGCACAACTATACCTATTGCTGTACCATTCTTCTATGATTCAGGCCTTCACCAAACTTCCACCGTGCCTTCATGGCCACCGTCCAGCCCCTGCAGTTGCATGTCAAGACACGTGATCTCTGCGTGCTTCACCAACCCCACCTCAAGTCACTGGGCTATAGTGTCTTGAGGTTCATAATGGCCGTGCTGCATACACAGTGGCACGCGCCAGCAGTGCAGCACTGACTGTGGAGGTAGCGAGGGTTGGTGGATCACACACAGATTGGTGAAACTCCCTCCCGTCCCGTGGGTGTCAAGGCCCCGATCTCCTTCCTGGCTTGCGGCCAGGGTACGATGATGGCAGCACAGCAGGTGGGTTCACTTCCATCTGGGGTTTGAGTGTTTTTTCTGCAATATATTGCTGTCTTTTCTTGGATTTTCTGTTTGCAGTCAGTCACATTTCACTTTAAGATGTTTTTTTGTTCATGTTTTTGTTTTTTGTTTGTTGCGGTTGCACCCGATTCAAGAGCCGAATGGCTCACAGGGCTATACCTAATAAATGAACTTGAACTTGAGTGAGGGAAGGGGGTGTTGGGAGAGCGTGATCCACTTACAGGGAAGTAGAGGAGGAAGGCCCCGAAGAGAATCACCTCGAGCAGCACGACGCCCGATGAGCGGATGCTCTGTGGGATCAGCACCATCATCTCAACACCATCATCATCGGCAACATTATCATCATCAGTAACATCACAATAAGCAACATCAGTAAGATCTTCAGCAATACTATCAGCAGCATCATCAGTAACATAATCAGGAACATCATCATCAGCAAAATTAGTAACATTGTCATCAGTATATTCAGCATCACCGTGATTACAAGCATCGCCGACCGCAGCATCATCAACACCATCATCAGAAACATCATTATGAGCAACACCATTACTGTGATTGCCATCATCACCAGGAACATCATCATCAAAAATATGATTGTGATCATCATCATCAGTCCTCATGTGATCCATATCAACATGACCACTATCACCGTGATCACTTCCGCCATTCTTTGCCAGATGTGTTTGTGTAATGACTCTGGACTCGAACTTTAGAGGTTTCTTTTATTTCATTTAACGTAGCTTAGGACCACGTCGTCATGAGATAATGCCGACGTGGAGATCGTATGACCGAGCAGACCGCGATGACGTGAAGACAGCGACGACCTGAAGACAGCGACGATGGCCCGAATCCCTCTCCACAGACCCCGAACATCCCTTCTTGCCTTGCTTTTATCCTCGTGGATTCTCCGGGGGAATTTCTCCAGCTGCCTCTTTTGGACACTCTGGGGAATTTCCCAACCAAGACCCTCCAGACTTGCTGGTACCTTGTCTTTGCACCCAGCCTCGCTGACACCCTGTCTTCACCTCGAGACTTACTGACGCAGTCTTTACCACACCCCCCCCCCCCCCCCGATTAAAAAAATTTGCCGTCTTGGCTAGTAACCATTTTAGTAGAACCGTGCGTTAGGGCAGAACTGCAGTAAGGAACGCGTGCGACGATCGCGAACTCAACAGGCTATTTTAAGGGGTGAGAAGTGTGACCCCACTCACCCAGTAACAACAACAATAACACATTTAACAACAAAACATCCGCACGTGGCTCAGGGGGGAATCTTGAATATCTCTGATTTGGTTTTGGGCCTACTAGCGCATCCTTACGTAGTTTCAGCGGGTTTTCGATGCCAGTCCCTTGTCTTTTGCATAATCTTGTGCCGTCCTGGGCGTTAAGGGTTCGTCCAACCGCCTTGGGGGGTGAGCCCATCCCCGGCGTCCCTTGACGAACTCGAGCGGGCTCCCGAGTATGGTCCCTTACATGTGACATATTCTTGGGACACCCCGGGCTTTCCAAGCGTTGAAACTGTGGGCAGCACAACAACTTTCCTTTGGTGTGCAGTTTCTGTAGCCGAGCGCCCCGGCACGTCGGACACACCAGACATTGGCCGTACAGGAGATGGGGATGAGCTGTCTGGGTGTGCATGTACATAAGGTTTGAGATGTGACGGGTGGATAAACCAGTGGCAACGCCCTGTCTGTATTCGTACACACTGTGGCCGTTTCACCTCTATGACCTCCACTGGACCTTGCCATGGGCGGCGCAACTTAGGGGACGTACCCGGCGGTACCTGTGGGCAATGTAACCATGCCCTGTCCCCGTCCATCCATGGAAGCACGTGTTCCCACCGCCCGGTGTTGTTTTTATTAGCGGGTTGCGCTCTGGCAATGTTTTCCCTGGCTGCCTTGCCGTCTCTGACACACGACTCAGCATAACGTGCATTGGCCCAAAAATTGATGTTTTTTTATTCTTCTTTCCTGAGGCTGTACCCAATTGAGTTTCTATGGCTGGTTCATTCTCCCAGCCATACATAAGGAAAAAAGGGGAGAATCCCGTAGAGGCGTGAACTCCCAGAACATGCGAGTCCCAATCTGGTTGTGCCTCATTTACCACTTAGCAGAGTATAGATATTAGGGTTCTGTGCAAGCGTTCCACCATCCCATCCGTTTGAGGGTGGTATGGTGATGTTTTCATCTTTTTAGTGCCTAGTGCCTCACACACTTCGCGCAGCAGTTTGGATGAAAAATTCGCCCCTGGTCAGTGCGAATATGCTCAGGGGCACCCTTGTCCAAAGCGTAGCCATGGAGGAATGCCTCTGCGATGGATGCGGCTGTTTGGTCAGGCAGCAGCCAAGCCATAGGCCAACGGGTAAAATATACTACTCTAACCAATAAAAACTTGTTTCCCTTTTGTGTACATGGAAATGGTCCCAGGATGTCTAGTGCCACCATTTCATTGATTCGGGACACAGTGATGGATTGTAACGGAGGCTGAGGTTTTTCAAGTTAACAGAGAGCTGTCTTCCATTTGGAGTTGCCCCCATTCCAGCAGCAAGTCGGCTCCAGGAGATCTGCAGTGTCCCACACCCAACGCACATGCACACCGTTCTTCCGGCGGCAACTGAGATAATGCATCCGCGTTGCAGTGCCTCAAGCCCTTTGAATAGACCACGCGGTAGGAATACTCTTGCAGTATCTCTATTTAGCGTGAGAGCTGACCCGAAGGCTGGTCCACTCGTAGGGAGTCAGTAAGAATAACGAACTCCCTGCCATATTGGTACGGCCTATACTGTTGGGTGAAGTGGACCATGGCCAACAGTTCTCGGCGGGTGTCACAATATCGCTGTTCCGCTGGTGTGAGGACCCGACTTCCGTAAGTAATAACCCTCTCAACCCCGCCTTTAACTTGAGAGAGAACAGCCCCTATGCCTAGGTCACTGGCATCCGTGTCCAAGATAAATGGCAGGGAGAAATCTGGATATCGAGGGGGGTGCATTAGCGAGGTGACTTCGCACCTCAACAAATGCAGCCTCCTCCTCCCCCCATTGAAACCTATGATTTTTGGCCATCAGGGCGTGTAAGGGTTTTGCAACTGTCGCGAACTGTGGAACAAACCGGCGGTAGTAGGAGGCAAATCCAACGAAACTGTGCACCTCCCCTACCATCTTAGGGGTTGGCCAGTCACGTACACATGCCGTTTTGGCTGGATCTGTCACTATGCCAGAAGCACTAACAATGTGGCCCAAATAATGTAATGAGGTTTGTAAAAGATGACATTTTGCAGGTTTCAATTTTAGATTAGCCAACCGTATTTTAGAGAATACCGCTCGCAACCGTTGCAAAAGTGCTCCTCGACCGTGCGACCAAATACAATCACATCCAAATAAATGAGGCACGAATCCCATTGCAGTCCTGCTAGGACTAACTCTATGAGCCTCTGAAATCTGGCTGGTGCCGAATGTAATCCCATGGGAAGACAATTTAAATGGTCCAGCCCTTGAGGTGTTCTAAATGCAGTTTTTGGTTTTGATGATTCATCCAAGGGCAGCTGCCAGAACCCCGAAAGTAAATCCAATGTGGAAAAAAACGGGCGCCCGATAATGCGTCAAGGGAGTCGTCCATCCATGGAAGCGGATACGCATCTGCCACTGAGACTTTGTTACATTTTCGGAAAATAACACAAAAATTTCAGGCTTCCGTCCTGCTTTTTAACCAATACAACCGGTGCTCCACAGGAGCTTGTTGACGGTTAGATTATATTCGCCGCCAACATTTCCTCTACTGCCAGCTGTATATTTTCCTTTTCGGCAGGACTCAGCCGATATGGGTTCTGTGAAATGGGAGCAGCATCGCCCATATTAATGTGATGCTGTAGCAGTGAGGTATGACCAATGTAAAATTTTCTCTTGCTAAAAATGTCAGAAAATTGTTGTATCAACAACCGCAAATCGTTGTGTTGTGACTCGGATAGATTTTGGTTTTCCCCGTAAAATTATTTTGCCCATCTTTTATTAACCTCGGCCCTTTCATCCACAGTGCCTAAGATGTCTCCCCCAGCGGACTCAACAGCCTTGCAACATGCAGCCGTCGTGTAGACCAGCACCGTATCTGCCTGGACTACCGTGGGTCTCACTCCTACATTTAGGAACTGTAAAAATGGCTCCTGGTTCACCCGGAAAATCATCTGCGCACCCACCAGCGTGAGGCCGCGGGTCGCTGTGTTTGAAGGAGTAAGGAGGACTCCCGCCTCAGGGTCAGCCACTTTAAGGCGGTATCGTAGAGGGACGAACATATGCGTGCCTAGTGGAATCTCTATTGATTATTTTACCAAGGTCACAATGTAACCCTTCGCAACCTGACTTTTAGCTGGGGAGTTCAGAAAAAGAATCGCTGTCCAGACGGAATTTCGATACATCCTAAATCTGTCAGAATTTTTAGGGGCACCCAAGAGACATGGTACTGCCAGTGCTTTGGAAATCAATACAGTTCCCATAATTTCCAATTCCCCAATCTTTACACGAGCTTCTACCTGGCCCATGATTCCCATGCTCCCTCCGTTAGCCCCAATACACCCATTTCTTACTGGCGTAATGCAAAGGCTCCCTGATGGCAACGTGTCAAAAATTTGTTGTGGTGCTAATGGCCGAGGCCCCCGTGTCTATTAACACACATACCTCCACCCCCTCGATGTAGCCAGCCACTGCCGGTGTGCCGGATGTGCCGGTTGATGCCGCCACAACCCGGAAAGCCAATTTCCTCCATTGAGTGCTCGAATGTGGCCAGCCGCCTAGAGTGGGAACTTGCTGTACCTCGTCAATGGCTAAGGGATGAGGGATGTAAATGACGTTCGAACTCTGCAACGTAGATGCGTGAGGTGGTTCGGGCCGGGTGTCTGGTGTGTCACGACTTGCCTGCTTGAGCTGTGTAGCAGACGTCGGCGGAAGGTTGGATGTAGGTGACGCCGCAGTTGGTCGGGCGTCGCTCCGGCATCCTCGGGCGATGTGTCCAGGCTGACCACATCTGAAGCAGGTGATGGCAGGTCTCTGCTGCAGGGGGGGTCGCCTCCGTCCTAGGCCTCCAATCTCGAGGCCACCGCGAGGTCTCCCCCTGCCACTGAACCCAGCCTTGTACTGCCGTAGTCCCTTCCCCCTCCAGCTCCAGATCCTGCTGCGCCATCGTGTGGTTGCTCCTTGCCGATCGGGCGGTCGAGGCACCGCTCAACTGGGGCTCACCTGCCCAGGCTACTACCCGAGGCCGCCAGTTCATGCTGTCATGAGCTTGCAGGCACCTGGCCACTCATAGGGAAGTCTGCGCTTCTTCATCAACGACAGGCAGCACGATCCCTGTCTCCTACGCCAACACCAGCAATTTCTCCATCGTTAGTAAGTCCAGTGTGGCCAGATCCATACACGGATAGGCCGCCTGCCCAAGCGCCATCAAAGTGCTGTGGTAAGCGAGGGGCGTTTCAGCCTCCCCCCGCATCTGTTGCAGGAACTTTTGCCGCGTGTTGGATGGTGGCTCAAAGAAGGCCGCCATCTCCCTGTAGGCCCGTTGAATTGTGGCCCTCGACTCAACTAGAATGGCTCGGAATGCCACAAGAGCGTCGTCATCGAGGGCCGTTGGCAGGACCCGCAAAGCCTCCTCTTCCGTCAACCCTACGGACTGGTAGGCCACCTCAAAATGGCGAGTCAAAGCAGCCCAGTCCCCGCCCGCAGCGACAAATTCCTTGACGGAGGGCAGCCATCACGGCCGATCTGACGCTCTCTCTTGCATCCACGGAGCCGGCTCGGTCACTCCCTGGGACGCTCATGCCATGGCGGCCGATTGCCGCGTCGCATCAGCTGCTGGAGTAATGGCGACCGTTTGCCGCGTTGCAGTCGCCTGCGGGAGTAATGGCGGCCAGTTGCTGTATCACGTTGGTCGCAAAAAAATGGCCGCTGGTTCCTGCATCGCGGCAGAAATGGCGACCGCTTCCTGTGTTGCATACACCGCGGTCGCGGTGGCATTTGTGGTTGGTGATCGCCGTTGCTCTGCCGCAGCAAGCGTCATGGCTTGCGATCGTGTGGGCTCTTCAGTCGCGTCTCGTCCCGTGCTCTCCACGGCTCCCCTGGTCGCCGCCGTCGTAGCCAGTTGCAGTGAGAGCTGCACGATTGCTGTGAGGAGCAGGTCGAGCCATCCTGCAACCTCCTACCACCCCTCCGTGGCTTGCGGCTGCAGTTGCTGGCGTCCAGCTCCGTCTTCTCCCGCCAATCCCGAGCATTCCAGGGTTTCATTGACTGGGATCCCTGTTCCCGGGGCTTCCTGGAAGGTGGCTTCTTCAACTTCCTCTCCTTCGTCTGAAGTTGCACCCGGTGGGTTTTTTCTTCTGCCGTATCTTAACATTTAATTATTGCCACTCATGACACCAGTTGTAATGACTCCGGACTCGAACTTTGGAGGTTTCTTTTATTTCACGTAACGTAGCTTAGGACCACGTCGTCATGAGATAATGCCGACGTGGAGATCGTATGACCGAGCAGACTGCGATGACTTGAAGACAATGATGACGTGAAGACAGCGACGACGTGAAGACAGTTATGATGTGAAGACAGCGACAATGGCCCGAGTCCCTCTCCACAGACCCCGAACATCCCTTCTTGCCTTGTTTTATCCTCGTGGATTCTCTGGGGGAATTTCCCCAGCTGTCTTTTTTGGACACTCTGGGGAATTTCCCAACCAAGACCCTCCAAACTTGCTGGCACCGTGTCTTTGCATCCAGCCTCGCTGACACGCTGTCTTCACCTCGAGACTTACTGACACAGTCTTTATATTTGTATGACATCATCAATAGGCCAGGGCTCGGGATAGTTTTTCTTGTTTTTGAAGTCTTTTACACTGCTCACAATCATTAAGGACCTTCATGATGATGGGCAGGCGCAGGTAAAGCTACGTGGCCGGCAGTCAGAGCCATTCTCTGACAGGGATATCTTCTGGCGTCCACATTATTTAACATATTTCTCAACCATGTAGTTCGAGAAGCCTTCCATGGCTGTACCAGCGGAATTTCCATCTGATACAGATACAATGGGAAGCTGATCGATGCCTAGGTGCAGTCAAGGGCTGGCTGCCTATTTGTCAACCATGTAATTTATGCTGATGATCTGATTATTCTTTCTCACTCTGAGGAGTTAGATGCGCTGCTGCTGAACGTGGATCATGCAAATAACAGGTGGGTCTTTACCAGCAGCCCCACCAAAACTAAGCACCTGCCTGGATATGTTGTACCATCAGATGCTTCCACCCCCTCAACTCCCCATGCGTGATGGGACAGTTGTGGAGAGAGTGGAGAAGCTTCCGTACCTGGGCAGTGTGCTTATGGCCAGCTCCGGTTTGGCAGCAGATCTCTCACTCCGAATCAGTTGAGCATCAGCTGCATCATGCTTTGTGTAAGCTACCTGGTTTGTTACTCCACACGAAGCTTCGGGTCTTCTCGATCACAGTCATGCCCTCTGCAATCTATGCTTGGGAAACGTGGATGCCTATATTGGAACATCTGCGCCGGTTTGAGACATTCAGGCAAGCCTCCCTATCATCCATCCTGGGTTTAACCAGGCTGGATTGTGTGAGCTCACAAATTCTTGAAAGATCTGGAGTCCCATCGGGGAGCTCCTCCAACAGGCAAGACTATGTTGCCCAGCCACCACAAGCCGAAGCAGCTTCTGTTTGGCTGGTTAGAGGGAGCTAAATGGGCACAGCACTGGCTATAGAGGAGATGGGCTGATTTGGTACAGGAGGATGTGGAGCTGTTTGGACTTTCCGAAGACTGGTAACAGCGGTATCAAGATAGGCCTGCATATAGTGAGAGTGTACGTGCCTTGCGCTCCCGCAGGCTGTAGGTGAGCGGCATGGCTGCAAGCGCGAGCCCCATGGCTCCAAGCTGCACGAGGAGCAGCGCGAGGCGCAGGGGCCGCGCGGCGCGTGGGGTCACACAGCGGCCTGAGCGCGGTGCGCAGCATGATGGCCCACAGCGCACACACGGGCCTCCTGCAGCAGACACACGGGAAAGGGACAGGAAACACGGGGTGGGGGTAGGAGACACAAGTGGGGGTAGGAGACACGGGGTAGAGGAAGGAGAGACGGGGTAACCGCAGGAGATGCAGGGAGTGGAGAGCAGGAGATATGGTGAGTGTGGTGCGTCGTGAAGTGTCTGCTGCACTGCAATCACCCATCAACGAGTCAGCCCGGTCTGTACACAGTACTTGTGACGTTCTTCATCAATAAAAATAGTGAACTCAAGACGGCAGTTTCTAACCTGAAGGCAATGCAATCTCTCGGCCTACCATCTGAGTTTGATCAACCTGGACTCAATGCAAAACTCGAGACCCTGGCACCAACGTCAGTGGCAGAGGTGTCGATGTTCATTGCACGGCTGCCAAATAAGGCATCGCCGCTTGATTACATCCACACGTCGATTCTCAAATCATGATCAGACGTACTTGCGCCGCTGATTGTCCACCTGGAAAATCTTTCATTTAGCGAGGGGGCTGTTTCCCAGACCGGTTCAAAATGGCGCAGGTAACACCGCTCATGAAAAAAAACTGGCTTGAGCCATAGTGACCCCACAAACTATCGCCCAATCTCAAACCTGAGTACGATTTTAAACGTCATTAAGTGCCTGTGTCTGAAGCGGTTACTTCCCCATGTAGCTGTGAAAGGCTGATTCAACCCGTTGCAATCGGCGTACCGGAACTTATACAACACTGAGACGAGTCTACTAATGATCACTGATGACCTCTACAAAATCATGGATGACCAGTGGGCCGCAGCGTTGGTTAGCCTTGATCTCTCAGGCGCCTTCAACACCAACGACTTTGAGATACTCATCAGTTGGCTAAGGTCAAGGTTCGGTGTATCGGGCACAGCACAAGGGTGGATTGAATCATACCTATATGGTCGATCACAGTTCGTCAACCTGGGTGTCAAACATTCATCGCCTATGCCATGCCGAGTTGGCGTAGTGCAGGGTCCGTATCTCTGTCCATCCAGTGCGTGTTGAGCAGCATTGGCTTCTGGTTGCCAAACGAATATATTATGAGCTTCAACTCATTCCACACAAAGTGCTTGCCACAAAAGAAACCACAATACCTTGCTGATCTCGTCAAGGAGCATAAACGATCATGCGAACTACGGACATCTTCGCAGCGTATTTTGCAAGGACGTAGGGCCCCGAGGGATCCAGGGTCGCACCACTGGCCCACTCAGATCTGGCCCTTACAATGACGGCGGGTCAGGGGAGTTCCAGGGTCCTGGCTAGCTGGCTGCCCCGAGCCGTCCAGAGTTCCAGTTTTAATACAGCTCTGGAGGCGTGCCCGCCCCCGGCCACGCCTCCCTTCCAGAGAGTTCCAAGGGGGGTTCAGGGGGATCCCCGCACACCCCGCAGCCGCCCCTTGCCTCGGAGTTGGGGAATCTAGCGGCCCCTATCCCGATCCGAGGTATTGCCCCTGATGGTCCCCGTCTGCAACTGCAGGTAAGTAACGCGATCCATTTAGTATATAATGTAGAAGAGTAATATGGGGACGTGACGTCATGTGCGCTGTCCAGTGCGATGACGTCATGGGACGTGATGTAATGCGCGCTGGGTGGGGCGATGACGTCATGTCTCCTCTAGGTACTTAAGGAGGACCCCGTGACGAAAGCGGGGTCACTGTGGGAGCCCGGGATAGAGAACGGTCGAAGAGCCAGCCAGGGGTAGAGCTCAAGGAGTCTGGAGAGAAGCCGGCTGTAGTGATAGAAGGTGCTGCTCTCCCCGGTCGGTCAGTGTTGGCTGAACCCCCGATCCGACTCGAGGGAGAGAGCCCTGGAGCTAGCCGAGCTTTGAACAGACAGAGTGCAGGGTCGTGTGAAGGACTCAGTATAGGACCCCTACCCCTGGGAAAGTTATCTAAACCCTTAATAAATAACCAGCGCAAGCCCTTACCTGAAGACCTGCCTCCGCGTCGTCATTTGCACCTCAACACATATATATAGCCCTATTTACAGTGCTACATAAGGAAGCCACTGCAGCTATGCACTTTTAAATCTGAATTGAAAACTAATTTCTTTAGAACTTCGTTTTTTGTTTAGTTTGTTGTCCTTCCCCCACACCTCCGATTATCAGGGTTGGCTACGTATGGTGCGAAATAATTTCAACATACATACGTTACAAGGATGGCCACAGCCCAAGGTCGTTGGTAGTGGCCACAGCTACAGGACACTGCAGTTACATAGAGAGCCATAGCGTTACATAGAGATGCATTGGTTGCATAGAGGTACATAGAGTTACATAGAGAAACATAGTTATAAAGAGTTGTACAATTACATGGAGATCTATAGTTATATAGAGTTGCATAGAGATTCATAGAGTTACATAAGAGATGTATAGCGCTATATAAAGATATATCAAGATACATAGAGAGCCGTAGAATTACTCATACTCTCAGACCACAGCCTAAGTCGATTAATAGTCGTGGCAATTGCATTAGATCGCAGGATGGAGGGAGTATGCAAACTATCACGAACAACAACATTATTTACACAACAAACAGTGCACGTGGATTTGGTTGATCACGCAGTAGGAGTTGGTGGATGACGCGGTAGGTGTTGGTGGATCACGTGGGTGGGGTTGGTGGATCACGCGGAGCTGTCGTTCGTGCTGTGCTGCCTGTGGGGAGCGGCACTCACTGGCAGGGCCATCCCTGGCAGTGTGGTTGGGCCGGTAGAAGCCCGGGAGACACACGCACTCGTAGCCCTCCAGGCGGAACCCGAGGCCCTTCAAGGGGACACACTACAGGAGGGAGGAGAGTGGAGACAGGTACGGGGCATGGGGTCGGACAGAGAGCCGATGTGGTGTTACAGGGCTAAGGGGATAAGGGGTCTTCATCATTACAGTCACTGTCCCTGCTCCT